TTTATGTATCTATCTGTCTATCTATCTGTTTGTTTATTTGTTTAGTTATTTATCCGTTTGTCTATTTATTTATGTATCTATGCATTATGTATCTATGTGGTCATTAATCTCGGTATTTGTCTATTTATTCATTTATAATTTAACCACTTATCATTTATCTATCGTATCTATTTTTATCATATTTTTATCTATTTATCTGTATCTCCATCTGTCGATCAATCTATCGATCTCGTTGTCGATCGATAGATAAATGCCTGAACCCTGAAAACAATAAAGTCTTTCTATTTGTCAGAGTGCGGCGCAGGGATTCTCGGCTACATGTCTGATGCCCAAGTTCAACTTTTCAAGTCTAGGTGTCGAAGTGCCGAACATAGGCCATCGCCGTGATCGGGACAGGCTTTTCTCTCCGATGTAGCTCCCGTGCAGTGCTTGACATAGGGTTTTGCACATTCCGCGCCCGTTACAGTAATCGACCATGATAAATCTCACAGCTTTTAATGATCCCGGTCTCCGATAACAAACTCCCATCCCAATTCACGCTTCACTTTCATCACGCGGTTTGTTGCGAGAAGACGGCATCCTGTAGTAGCAGAAGATGGCGATGGCCGTGTCAACCTCTGCCACCAGGTCCCATACCCGTGCCTTGGACATGTACTCAAGCAAAGCCGAAAAGCAAAAAAGCAAAGCCAAGTTTCAGCGAAGGAGTGCCCAGGACCGGTACTGGTTGAACATAGCTTTAGCCTTGCCCCAAACATGCCTTGCTGGGTTTCGTGCTAAGCTTGCTCGGTTCATGACCAGACCGTCTGCTCTGCTATTTCCACAAGGTTTCGTAGGGTTCCCGAATATGTCCGAGTTTTGCTAGGGAATTTTCATGAATTTTCCATAAATTGTGCAGATAGATGCCGTGCAGAATAGATGCAGGTTTTTGAACATTATTCCCAAATGCTGCGGGCTATAGCTTCTTGTGGCCGAGATGGATTCGCAAGAGCTCCTACTTGAGGTGTGCAGTCTTTTCCAACCGATAATGTTATTCCTGAAACTTGGGCTCCACATGTAGCTGCTTGCTTCATTGCTTTCAACGGGTGCATTGCCGTTTGTGATGTTTGGGAGGCAGACGCCGGAGCAAACCTTGGCTCTCAGGCAGGATCCGGCTACATTCGGCTGCGTGCTAGAAGCACCAAGACACGCCAGGACGCAATATCCAGGCACGAGACGTGGAAGGGGCACATGCCCTTTTCATGCGAAGTTCTGGTGCCTTCCGCTTCTTCGCAAAAACCACGTCTAGCTCTACGTTGCCCGTGAATTTGGGGGGGTTGTTGCACCAGTCTCCACCCCGGCGTACTTTTTCAGAGCTTTGAGCACTCTTCCAGCCTACGGTCAACTGCCTTCGCCACTCAGGTTGAGCAGTGCACGAAAGCCAAGTTCTACAATCAGTCCGGCTCCCAGCCTCCATGTGCAGGGAGCCCTTGGGCGCTTTTGCTCGCTTAGCAGGAGGCAGAGGAAGCCCATGGAACTCATTGCTTTGGCGGCCTGAGGTATTCTCTTTGCGGTAGCCCGGAGTTCTTCAGTATCGAAGAAGCTGCCAGCAAACGTGCTGCCAGAGATGTGCTGGAAGTTTTGCAAGCGATAGACCCGGCAAAGCCGCAGCTGGCGGATTTGTGGGAAGCAACCTATACGCCGTTTCCAGGGGCGAAAATCAAGATCCACGCAGTGCATTTAGCAGCCAGCCTTGGGAGCGTGGAGGTTCTGAAATGGCTCCGGATGCTTAGCTGCAGTCGTGTGTCGAGAATGTGTGTTTTAAATGCTAGCTAGAATACCAGTGCAAGCTGTTGCGACGCTAACCAACCAAGCTTGCAACACCATGGCACAGACCGTTTTGCCAACAACGTTGGCTTTCCGGTTGTCATGCATGCACAAGTGCACAGCTCATTTTCGGTATCTTTCGCAAGTCGCCGTCGTTCGTTCGATGCCAAAGTAAGTGTAAGTGTGTGTGCGTGTGTGTGTGTGTGAGTGTGTTTGTGTGTCTGTGCTTTTCCCCTTTCCATTCGTCCCTGCTGCACTGGTAAAGTCTTCTGTTGAGGTTTCGGCTGGCTCGACCAAATGCAAGCCACTGTTGAGGTCTTGTACCTGTCACAGAATGGAACATTGGTAGAGTCCAGCATAAGTTAGAGTTAACTTGTACCTGCAATTTTGCTGAATGCGATGGTTGTCGACGTTCGGGAGATTTCGGAGCAAGAGATCGACAATAGAGCAACAGATCGGGAGGAAAGGTTGTACTTGCATTGATACGCACATACGCACACACACACACACGTACCCAAAAGCATACATACATGCATGCATGCATACCTACATCGCATGAATATATACATGATTACACACATACATACATACATACATACATACATACATACATACATACATACATACATCTATCTTTCCCACGCTGCAAGAGGGTGTCTCGCTTGGCGTGCCGTCAGACGGGTGGCGAACCCGGCTCAGAATGAGCTCCGTGCTTCGCACGGATCCGAAAGCATGCTACAAGTGCTGCCCGACCACCAACGATGGTGGATATCACTGCTGTATCACCTGGCACGGATGCCCCATTATGATGCAGCAAGGTCGGCACTTGATGGCGTCTGGACAACATGCTGATAGACATAAAGGTACCCACTCGTGCGCACACAGTCAGGAAGCACTATATGCCGTTACGGACTTTTGCCATCATCTCAGAAGAGATGAGAGCTGCCTTCGACGTGAGAGTAAAGGAAAGCCCTCATGGACAATCACGGCTCTAAGAGTATATTGCTGAAGCTGGGTGTCCGTGGTGGTATGGAGTGCATCGGCTTCTGAGAGGAGGCATCTAGCCAAGATACGATGATCTGGGAGGATGGGTGTAGTGTCCCGATGTGGGCAAGCCCCTATGTAGCCAAACCGGTTTACCTGGATAGCTAAGAAGACGGGAGCCGAGGCCCCATCAACCGCCTGAGTGTACCAATGCTGAAGCAACGCTTGGGTTGTGATTGGAGCACCCGGTGCATTTTCAAGTTGAGCATACATACATACATACATACATACATACATACATACATACATACATACATACACACATACATACAAAAAATGCATACATACACACATACGAAAATGCATATATACACACATACACACTTGCATACATACGTGCGTACATACATACATGCATACAAAAGATGCATATATACACACATACACACTTGCATACATACGTGCGTACATACATACATGCATACAAAAGATGCATACATACACACATACATACATACATACATACATACATACATACATACATGTATAGATACATGCATCGCATGAATACGTAGACAGATAGACAGATAGATAGATAGATAGATAGATAGAACGAAAGACAGATAGGTAGATAGATGAATCATTCATACATACATACATACATATATATATATATACATACATACATACATACATACATACATACTTGCATACGTAATTGCACAGGTACGTACGTACTCGCGCGCATACATGCACAAATACATACTTTGTGACTAAGATTTGTTGATCCAATGGATTTTGGTACGCTGCATTCTGGTACTCTGTTCCGAGGGAGCGCTGCTCGCCCGATGTGCTCATCCGCCGGTCAATCCTAGAGACCACGAAGCACACACAGGGCCCGAATGGACGAACTACCAGAGCAGCTTGGCTTCGTAGCACGAGCGTACTCTGACACATACCATCGCATTGAAATTCATTACTTCCGAGGCATGTGTTGATCACTATACGCCCTTGTTATGTGCCTTGTGGATGAGCATTTGGTTTGCAAGCAGCACGTCGAGATGTGTCGCAGTGGGTCGCAGTCTTTCTGCTTATCTCAGCACACCTCAGGCCAGGTGGAGACCTTCATGTGGATTCTTGAAGAAGCCCCGGCCAGTGCCACAATCCGCAATGCCGACGAATGTGCATCGCTGCACATCTTGGTTTAAGCCTCAGCAAAAGACAAGAGCGTGAAACAGTGTTGGCATCTTGTGCTTGCCGTGTTCTACACTATGGTCAGCGTAGCATAGTACTTGAAAGGCGAAGATCGGCTTGCCGGATGTGCCGGAAGCAAACAGAAGTTCGGCCTTTGAGCTACTTGCTTCAGTTGGAGCCGAGAGTTGGCCTTGCTGCCGCATGAAGCCTCAGGAGGATAGCTGAAGCACTGGTGAACCGAAAGGCTGACGTGGCTTCAAAGAGCGGTGCCTTGAAAGATCGTGAGGACCAAAGCACGCAGTGAAGTGGACATGCAGCTTTCTGCGTTCCCACATGGGAACTTGCAAAAAGTCACTATGCCCTGAACCATCATCTCATCACTCATTCCCCGCTGCATGGCATACCGATATTGCTCTCCAACACCTCGTTCGAATCAGCCCTAGGCATAATTTGACATCGTGTGCACAGGCACTTCCCACGAACACGACGGGTAGGCCTTCAAATCACGCGCCACAAATCCCTTGCTGCAGCGAGCCGCAAGCAGTGACAGGGAGGATAATGCATGAAATGGTCGCTCGAAGTGGCCATGCAGGAGCAGCCACTCGTCCAGCGGCTGTTGTTGCGCTGTCAATCCGCATCCATTTGTCTATTCATTTTACTGATACATACACGTGAGTTCCGCCACGTTCCAAGCCTATCGGTTTATGCCGACAGACCAACACACCGACACTGTGGTAAACAGGATCTAGTCGGATACGGGTCATATGAGTGTAAACCATGCATTTGCGAAGTTTTTTCGGAAGTAATCGTCCGTGTGCACAAATCGCAACACATTTTCTGCATTGATCCGTCTAACATAAGGTCATTGAGGATAGCAGTGCAGTTGTACTGGAGGTCCAGCGATCGGGTTTAGCGTTGAGGGGCCGGGGATTAGGTTTTGAGTTGACTGTTTGGCTTACTAGGCGGCGCAGAGGAGTGTTTTCATTCGCTGGGTTGGAACCGATGCAGACTACCGGTCTTACAATGGTATCAACTTTACACTGATCGGTGTGGTTTGCCGTAAAGTCACATAGCAGCGCAGCTTACAGTTGTGAGCCTGGAGTTTACGCCAGGCAACAAAGGATTGGGGCCAACTCAAGCCAAGTGAGGAAGAATAACCATACGCCACGTTGCAGGATGCAGAAAGTGGCTGTCAATCGGGCGATGGAGATGAAAAGAGGTTGGCATTCCTGTTAAAATGTCGACATGTCCTGCCGCCAGGATGAAGAAGCCGCCCTCCTCCGAAACAAGACTGCCTTGGAAATTGCAGTCCACAAGCGGGCCTCGCTGCTTAGCTTGAAGTGTGCCGTCAGGCTGTTCAGCCGTTTCGTGGGCCAGGTAGTCTTGACTCGCCGACTGGCTCTGACCTCTCGTCACTGTGGTCGCATTTTGCTTTGCCCAGGTTTCCAAAACAAATGCTGCACCTGCTGACGTGCCTCAACTAGACGAATGTGACGCCTGCGGGCTGAAGACCGTTACCGCAGCAACTTCTGAGGCAATCGTACCATTACCCAAAGCGGAGCAGATTGTTTATTGAAGTCAACCTGATTGCCAAGGCACCGGCAAAGCGTTTTACCGGATGTTTTACCGTTTTGCTATTCTTGTGCTTGTACACAAAGAGCACAGGCTGAAGACTACATAGTGCAAGATACCTGTCCAGGCAAATCCAGCTGCCGCTGTTCAGCTCGTAGGCGCCATTTCTTACCACAGTGCCACAACTGTCCACGGAAATGCATGGATGTGCTCAGGCCGGATCAAGAAGCGCGCTCCGGGACAGCTCGAAAAGAACCTCCGCGAAGAAGTCCTCACTTACCTCAGGGACTCGCCGGAATCGAGCCGCAAGCCTGGCCCGCTTTGCAAGCTTTGCCCGCCAAACGCCCATTTGCAATCGTCTGCGCCTGCCTCATTGCTTTCGTGCATTGGGTGATCTCAACAGTCGGAAGTGTTATTTGATTCGGTTCCTGCACTTCGCTGTCTCTTTTACATCGCTCGGAATTCGGGAACATGCAGATCTCGTCACGAGGGGATGCATTAGAGAGAACTTTAGACTTTAATTCTTCTTCGACCTCGCCTCACGTTCGTTCATCCGTTCGAGGGTTGCTTCGTCCGTTTGTTTGTTCAGCCTTCCCCCATTTCCCGTGGGTGCGTAAATAGGGTTAATTTGGAAGCTGGAACTGTGTGTTTCCGTATGCCAAGCTCATTTTCTCAATTATGTACCAAGCACATGTGCACAGACTGTGTGCTAGTGTGCTGATCGACCGACCGATCAAATTGTCTTCATGTATGCGGCAAACTGAGTAACACGAGCGCCAGAGGGCGTCCGGAATTAAGGTTTCACCCCTCCCCCCTCCCCGCCCCGGTTCAGGGTTTAAGGTTTAGGGTTGGATTTAGGGTTAGCAGGGTTTCGGGTTTAAAGGGTTTGGGTTTAGGGTTTTGGGGGGTTGGTTGGAGCGCAGGGGAGGGGGGTTCTGTGAAGAGAAGTGGGTCTTTTTGCGAGCTCTCAAATCTCAAGGATTTGGCAGTGTAGATGGCCACTGGAGACAATAGCTTTACAGGAAGCTTCTTCCTCAGTAGGGGGCACATTCTCCGGACAACCGGCTGGCTGGGAAGGACGGTCATGGATCATTGAGGCTTACATGTGCTTACATGCAGCCTACACATGCGATGATGGGCACAGCCGAAAATTTAACCCAAGATATCACCGACGACCACTTTCGGTTAACCCTGGATACAGGTGATGTGGGTGAAGAAGCTACATCCCCAGCGACGGCCGCGCTACCGATTTCACAACTTTTGCACAAACTGTCAGAGACTAGGCAAACAAAGTTTGTCGTTCGAAAAGACCACCACTCGAATGGTTTTGAAATTTCGAGAGGACGTTACGAGACAAGTTTCGAAATGCCCGAAGCACGGCCGGTTTCTATTGGCACGTTTGCCTGATCTTCGCGAAGCTAGCTTTTCGGAGCTTGCGAGAGTTGTCGTTGACAGACCTACTTCTCCACATCCGTGGCCGTCTCGAGCCTTATATCAATACCTTAGGCTGCGCGCCTTCAAAATGATTGACTAAGATGAAAAAGCGGCGGGGGAAGCCAGATCGATCAAAGGCTCCTCCAGCCCATTGTTGCGATTGTTGTTGTCTTGGACTTACTCATTTCATCTACTCTCGGTTCCTTCCGTCGAAATCATGTCAGGAAATATTCTGTGTGCAGGTTGAGCTGCTGGCCTTTCCATCAGCATCGCCCAACCTTTTGCTCTTTTGTTCTTTGGCTGAGTTGAAGGATATCGACCCTCGGCAATGTTCTTCCTGTGTCGAGGCGTACGGTACAAGGGTGTATGTTGGTCCTGCCACGTACGACGTACGAGTAGATACAGCGCAGCCAGCAAAGCGACAAGCGCCACGACCCGTACCGGGTGCACCTTGTTTCAAGACCAGCATGTAGGCAATAGGCACGACGCGATTCTATTTCGGTGACACGAGCAAGCTTTCGGGCTTTCACTCTTGTTTCGCCCAAGTGTACTTGGCAGGGCATTTGGACATATTTATTGAAACACTGAAGTGGCTTGGACAGCAACGGTGTCAGCATCAGGTTCCCATGCATGTTTGTGCTTACCAGGAGATCACCTATTGCTGGTGCCAAGCTGCTGGAGCTGCTCATGGGCGAGCCGAGAGTTGAAGATCCTCGCAGGTGGAACAAAGGGGGCCCGGGAACATGCGCCATGAACCACTTACCTCGGCGAGCAGAACGGCAGAAAACAGCAGGCATACAAGCTCCGTGCTGTGCCACATTGCTGCACTGCATCAGAATGCTCCATGTCATCGCCATTCTCACTTTCGTTCACTTCATCGGAGCTCGCCCTGGGCACGACGAATGCTCCGCATGAGCCGCTGCATCGTGCCTACTTACCTGCTTTTACTTATGTCAAAATTCGTCCAGCTTCAGAAATGCTGTCTGCACCGGTGCCCGAACGAAAAAACAGGAAGGGAGGCCAGTGTTGATTCCTGATAATCATGAGGCTTCTGGGAACAGTCGGTAGAGTACAATTTGTCGCTTCAGTGTTGGCGCCGATTGGATCGGGCTCGCAGTCCCTTCGGATCTTTTTGTATGTCAAGGTACTCCACAAGGCTTCAAGGAAATGCCGCTGATCAATTGCGAGAATGCAGGTCTGTAGTTCTTGATTCGGATGGCTCCCTTGTCGTCAGGTATGGCCTCCCGCTTTTTACTTCCCTGCCGAACAGGGAGATGTCCTTTGGATTGCAGCTAGGGAGGGCCATGGCACATCGATGCACATCGCATGCCTAAGGATTTGCACCTACCAGCCCGTCGAAGGCGGCTCAACGGACGAGCCGATCTGGGAAAAGGGCCAGGGACCGGGAAAAGGTGTGCCGTGGCACAAGGAGTTCATCCTAGAGCTGCCGAATGATGACCCGCGCTTCCACACAGATGTCTATGAAGTCAAGGCGAGAGAAGAAGCGTTGGTCGCCTTTGCTCATGTAGCCTAGGGGGCTTCTTGCTCAGAACACCTCGAGATGCAGACGTCAACGGCCCCCCCCGCCTGGACAATGAGTAAAATCGGTTCAAGTCTTCGCTGCCCTTGCAGGTGAACGTCTTGCACCTGCCCGGTGTCCTTAACCTGAAGGTGATGAGCATTCTCTCCACTCAGGTTTGGAACAATTGGGACCACATGGCCATATTTTCGAAGATCCCTATCAGAGCTATTGTATCAGGCCCTGTGTTCATTTTTTCAAGTTCCGGTCTCCGCGAAATAGCTGCCCATCATGATCATGGCAGGCAAGTGGAAACAGTACAGTATGGTCTGGGGCTTCGGCCTGCTTTGGCTTGTGGTTCTGCCACCTGCCTGGCCTGAGAGCTGTCAATGACTAAGCGATCTGCATGAAAGCTGAAGGCTGTGTGCCCTCATCGTGCTCTCCATGCACCTGGCATTGCATGCCGATATTTCTTTCCCATTTCTACATTGGGGGTCCTGTGCCGGTTGGCTTGAAGAAGTGATGGCATCCCCAACTTTTGCGATGAGTTGCACCATCTGCTGTTTCTGCTGTGCCGTCCTAAGGCTCCTTTGGCCGGCCTGTTGGCTCCATTTTTATGCCACATGTGGAGCCGGCAGAAGCCGGCAAAGCAAATACGCCACTGTGTCGACTAAGGCAGCGTTGTCATGGCCACCTTGTCCTTCGAAGGTGTAAACTTTGTGCACGCAGTGGCTATGTGTGAGCGAATGACAGACATTCCTCGAATGAAATATGTGCCTCTTGGTAGCAACCTAGCCTTTAATCTTTTACTATCTCATTGAGTTGCTGTGAGGTGGCATTTCGATGCGTTTACATTTATCAACTGGCAGCTTGGGCTTTAATCAGCCATTCTGTCGGTGAGGTGTCCTGTGACTCAGTGACACTTTCGTTTGCAGGTTGGTTTGAGAGCGGGTTTCGCCACCATGTCAGCTTTGCTTCTGCCGATGTTGGTATCGCAGGCTAGGCCATTAGCATGTAGGCCACACCTTACTCCAGGATACAGCTTGGGAGTCCTTTATCGGGATCAGCAACAGTACATTAACTTGTTGGAAGGACAACCAGGCACAGTCGTCCAACCTGCAGCCAAGCTGCGGGACAGGGCAGATTCTCAAAATGGACTCTGCGCACGGCGAGGAGTGCCAATTCACCCCCAATGCAGCAACGAGCCCTGGCGCACTGCTGCAGAGACTCATCCCTTCGCCCTTTGGACGAAGCAGTCAGACCAGCCAGCACTGGGCCCAAGCCCTGCTGGCCCAGACCGTTCAACTGAACGCAACTACGACTACAACTGCGAGTGCTGATCAAAGTGCGGGATCCGTGGCAGCTGTGCACGCGAACCAAGCAGGAGACTTGGATACATTTCTGGTTGCTTTGGCGACGAACTGTGGAATCGTGATCATGGCCATTCTTGGTTTAAGTCTCTTGCGATGCCTCCAGCCTGCAGTATACCTTCGCGACCCCGAGTTGCAGAACTTGCATGCAGCGGCCGCGAAGTTGAAGCCTGACAGGGAGTTGCCTGGGCGGCCAGGCTGCTTCGCATGGCTTCTCAAAAGCTTCAGCGCATCGCCAGAGGAAGTGGCAAATGTTGCTGGGCTGGACGCGGCAATGCATTGCGAGTTCTTGGCTCTTGGAATGCGTTTATGCTTGAGCATTGGCGTACCCTGCATTCTGATTCTATGTCCCCTTCACGCCAGTGTCGGTGGAGATGCTGCCGCTCCTGACCGATTGAGCGAAGTGGGCATGGCCAATGTGCAACATGGTTCGTGGCTGTGCTGGCTGCATGCCATCTTCGTGTGGTATGTGGTCGTGGTTACCCATGCGCAAGTGCACTTGGCACAGCGAAACTTCTTGCCGTTGCGCATGAGATGGTTGCACAAATCACCAGTTCCCGGTGCAACAACAATCCTAGTGCAAGGTATTCCCGAGAATTTGCTGTCGGAAGCTGCGCTTCGTAAGTTCTTTGACGATGGTGTTTTTGGTTGCCAGGCCGTGAAGTGCATAGAGTTCGTGAAAGACACCCGGGAGCTTCTGCATTGGCAAGAAGTAGCAGACGGTCAGGGCCAGGGCGGCCAGGGCTCCTGGCGCACGGGTACCGGCCGAGTGCTTGAGGGCCAAGAGCTGCAAGCCGCAGCTGCCAGCATGGTCAGCAGGTACAGGAAGCAACTCCTGCGCCTGAACGACAAGAACTCTGCCAATGCTTTCGTTACATTCAATCATCAGCGTGAAGCTGTGGTTGCTCAGAAGTTATTGGCTGAAGATGACTATGATGGCATCCGGGCAGAGATGGCTCCAAACCCCAGTGAGGTCTTGTGGGGAGATTTAGCAACCCCTGAGCCAGGGCATCAGGCCGTCAAGGAGCTCATTGGTTATTTTATCATTTTCCTTATCTTCTGGGGCTTCATGCCGCTGGTCGTATTGATCCAATCTGTTGCCAACCTGAACACCCTGGAGAAACATGTACATTTCTTCAAAGTTATGGTGGAGCATTTCCCGGCGTTGGCCACGCTGTGGAACGGCTTCATGGCATCTTTTGCACTCTCAGTGGCCATGAGCTTCCTGCCATCTTTCCTGATGCCGATTTTGGTTTTCTTCTTTATCTCCAACACAGAGGCGGAACGACAGCATCGGCTGCAGGTGGGCAGAGCGACAAACTACTGTCAAACGTGGCCGGAAGTCTACTAACTATTGGGTCGATCGCGCTGTAGAGCGTGGCTAGAGGGTTAGCTGCGAAGAGCCAGTAGTGTGAACAGAAGGTTGTGATTAGCAGTTGGTTCCTGACCCAAGACATAGGGGCCCCAACATGCGCCAAGCGACAGCTAGGAAAAACAGCTTTTGAGCCATAGGCTTCCTGCGCGTGCCGACGGTTCCCTAGAGTTGACAGTAGCTTCACAAGGCCAACGGCAACGGCAGCATCTTTTTCCACGCAGTCTGCCAATGTACAAAGTAGCAGGCTGCAAGCCGAATCGGACAGTCACCCAACCATAACTGCTTGCAGTCCCAATCGGGCGTGGACGTAGGGCCCACAGCTTTCCTGCAGGAAGGGTAATGAATCGGAATTGGCGACCTATCACTTGAGCTTGCATGGAATCGTCCCGCAGGTGTGGTACTTCTACTTTTTGTGTGTCTTCGTGCTGCTTGTCACGGCGATTGGCTCCTCCATCATGGCAACCGGTCAGTATTTGCTCCAACATCCTTTCGATGCACCCAGCTTGTTGGCCAGGAATATGCCTCAAAGCACACATTTTTACCTTAATTTCATTCCGATGCAGATGGCTGCCTATGCGACAGCAGCACTGAGACTTTCCCAGCTTACGAAGTACATGGCATTCCGCACGTTCCACAGCCCAGCCGATGCCAAAGCAAGAAGTGAACCCGAAGACCAGACATGCTTCGGGATCGGCTCGCGCTCTGCCCGCGCATCCCTACAGCTCGTCACGGTTCTCACATTTTGCACATTGTCTCCTTTGATTTCAATTCTTGGCTTTATGATGTTCGCCATATGTCGTGCAACGCATGGCTTTCTACTCAGGGAGGTGGAGTCCGTCAAGTCAGATTTAGGAGGAGTGTTCTGGGTAACGAGCCTGCAACATGTCCTTCAGGGCTTGTTCATCTTCGTTCTGTTGATGACTGGAGTGCTTGCTGAGCGCTCTGGCAACTGGATTCCCGGCGCCGTGTCGGCCAGCAGTTTGGTCTTCGTGCAGTGGTCGAACATCACCTTCCGGAGAAGATACCGCTGGCGACACCTCCAGTTCGAAGAGATATTGAAGATGCCGGAGACCCGCAACAAGCGCCCCGCTTCCGGTGAGAACTACAGACAGCCAGAACTTGGTGAGTGAACCTCCAGGTCTGCTCGGCAGATGCCTGGCTTGCGGCAGGTTTCCTGCGACTCGCTCCAGCTCGCTTTGGGCAGCGGAAACAAGATGCCGATGCAGTCTTGGCAGTACTGTGATGCATTTACCATCTTTTGCCATTCCTCACCTCTCAGGTTCGCGCTTCTTGGTTTGTTTCTTCTCGGCGACATCGTGGGCACTCCAAGGGCAAAAGTGCTTCTGGCACTCAATTTGCTTCTGAGGCCAGGGCATTTCGCTGTGTGACGGTGGAGAGTAGTTGTCCGCTGGATCCTTTAAGAGGGGACAGAAGGGCCCCCCACCGCACTGGGGGGGCCTGCATGGAGATCCGTCGATCGTTGAAAGCTCTTAAGGTTTTTGACTCATGACCATTCGTGCTCTGGACCAACCGCAGCAAGTCTCCTCACCAAAGGTGGCGGTTGTGATTTTGTAATTACGCTGCCTGCATTTCTGCCCGCAACCAAATCCGCCGCCAGACGGTCACAGACCGTTGCAAAGCAGAGTGTCCTGTGCACTCTGTCCGTCTTTCGAACATGTTGAAGTAAATCACTGCATCTTAAACTGTGAAGCAATCGCTGTGTATGTGGTGACAGATGCCTCGCGATCATCTCAGAGCTGAGAGCCAATCCGTTGGTTGGGCCATTGATCATCGCGGTTATACAGTCTTTTGCGCCGATCACGCCGATGTTCACCTTCATGGGAGCCTCAGCTTCGCAATTCGGGGAGGGAGGGGCATGTAGGTAATTGCAGAGTGAGGCACCTGCGGGAAGATAGATAAACAGAGACAGCCCGAGAGGTGGCCATCAATGCCAGCAAGAAAACGGGCGAAAAAGGGGGCGCATTCAAGGGTTCAGATCAGACGGCCTCGCGTGCACAAGCGCGAAGAGCAGTTTTCGGGTAACAGAAGAGAGTTTGCATGAACCTTTAGTTTGGGAGGGGAGGTGTTTCGACACCGACATGATCTGTCCCAAAGCTTTCGTCTGAAGCCAGAGTCGAATTGACAGCCCAGGTATGATGTTTGTGACGTTCGCCCTTACATTCCTGACGCTGAAAGACGAAGACCGGAGTCCGGGGTATGCATTCCGGCTGTAACTTCGGGACCAGCGCACACAGTGAAGCTCCTGTTTCAAGTCGTTGCGAGGTGTTGCTCAATCTCTTCCAAGCTCTGTTCCTCACAGACAGCGATGGGGCAGAAAGCATATCCGGCATCGATATCGGTCACCAACAGACTCTGGATTTCGGAATCGAGATGTACACCGGTGACGGAAGCCACCTGTTGCTGATCGTGACGACTGCGATAATGCTCTTCGCTACCTCAATTTTTTCCTTGGTGCTGTTGAGCCGTGGTCGCAAGGCTACGTAAGCCAGGATCAGTTTGAGTGACGTTGTGCAACGCAGATTTGTTCCCACTCACTCCGGTGAATGCTGCCGTCCGACAGTAGTCTGAGAGGGGTGCATACTTTCAATTGCAGTTTGCGAGGAACTTGACCATTGGTATGTACACCAAGTTTTACGAGCTGCAGGACTGCGTGTCTTTTCGAATTTGTTGTTGAATGCAGTCGATGGACTCCCTTGTTCAAGGAGCCTTTGGCACGCTTGGGTCTTCAGCAGTGCCGTGCCAGGCCGGGCTGTGGGAGTGCGTAGTGACGGCGCTCTGAGCCTTGACCTGCTGCAGCCATGAAAGATTCGGCTGGCCTCGGGCGTTTCGAATTGGAGTTGGATGCTGTGCCCCAGCAAACGGGATAGTGAGCGCATCTGACGAAACGGCGCGGATCAGACCCTGACTTGTAGCAAGAGGCAGATTATTGGGGCTCGGGTGTGACTGCATCCTTGCCGCGTGCGCAAGGCGAGAGTCAGGAAACTAGACTAAACTTGACAAGGCTCGGCTAGACTGGACGCGAGCAGACTAGCATCTGCTTTGAAGCATGAGGCAACCATGTAGCTTGGAATGAGATCTTGCGGATCAGCAACATGGCAGGCTTTGCGTTCGCTTTGCATTGAGACCATCGGTGCCACGAACATGGCTGGCTGGAATGTCTCTCGAGGGATCGAAGTGGAAGACTTGCGCGAACCTGAGCTCCACAAGGCTTCATGTGAGTGCTAGACCCCGGGATCCAGGCACGTGTTCGAATGTTCTTCAGGAGGAGACGTGAGATAACGCACAGAAGCCACCAGATTTCCCAAACTTGGTGCGAATCCTTCCATGACACACACTCAGCGACAGGAGCTCGTGCTGTGGTGTCCCCTTGCTAAACCTCTGAAGGCTGACATGCCTAACCGTGCAGTTATGTCAATCACACCGAACGATAGAGCATTTACACGTGATTGCACATACCCATGAGGCTGCGAAGGGGAAACTACGAATCAGAGACCGGAAGGTCCAATCAGAGACCGAAGACGCCGAGTCGGAGACCAGAGGGCCCGAATGAGAGACCGCGAAAGCGGTTTCAGAGACCAGTCTTCGGAATCAGGCCGCCTAGACTCAGCGACCAAGGAGGGTCGAACCAGAGACCGGGCGGGCTGAATCAGAGACAGGAGGGGTCGAATCGGCAACCGGGACGCCTCAAGGCAGCGATCTGACGGGTTTAGTCAGTGACCTGTCCATGTCGCGGCCAAGGGTAGCAAGGGTGAGGCGTGCGGGGTGTCAAGTGGGGTATACCTGTGCGGCAGCTTGTCTTTCCGTGATTCGAAATCCCCGTTCCCTTGCGCTTCAAGTTCTGCCACGAGGGTGGTTCAGTGGGTTGGTCGGGTTGCTGCGTCGGTCGGGTGGGATCGGCTTGGTGGGTCGGGTTGTCGGGTGGTCGGCTCGGGTCGGGTTGGTCGGGGTCGGGTCGGGTTGGTCGGGTCGGGGTTGAGCTGGCCTTGAGGCCCCCAGCCCAGCAAGACACCATGGTCGGGTCGGTCGGGTTGGTCGGGTGGGTCGAGTTTGTCGGGTCGGGTCGAGTCGGGTCCTGTCGGGCGGTCGGCGGTCGGGTCGGATGGGGTCGGGTCGGTCCCTGTTGGAGGTGCTTGATTCGACCTATTCTAGTCTCCGATTCGTGTGGCGGTCTGGGTTTCGCGTGGCTGGTCTGCCAGTCTGATCCCCCGCCCCTGCTGGTCTCTGATTCGCCCGTCCTGGTCTCCGATTCGACCCTCCTGGTCTCCGATCCCGGTCCCTGATTCGACCTTCACCCGGCTGCGAACGCTGACGGGATGGCGCGACTCGCACTTTGGCACTCATTTTGAGCGTTAGTTTCCCAGGTCTCTGTGCGCTGCCGTTCGTTGTGATCTTTCTGGCGTCTGCCGAGCTCTCAAAGGGCGTCGCCGGGAGTGGTGCTGCGCGCCATCGTTCGAGCCAGCCAGTGTTCCGAGGCCATCTTCGAGTTCTGGAATGTATATTTAGGCGGTCTCTGCCTGTGCGCCGTGCTCCTCATTTGCCAGGCTGCATTGCTGACTCCCGTTTGCACCATTCCCCATGTCCGAAACAAAGGCCGTGCAAGGTTCGCATGGACAGGCCGTTTTGTCAGAGGTCAGACAAACTGAAGCCTACAGTTCTACCCACGGCGGCAAGGATCCGATTGTCAAGCCATCAAAACTACCGATGAAAGCAGAAGTGCCTTGCAGCCGAGTCGTCCGAGGATCAATGTCGATGATCTCGACTCGCGGCACAGGTATCTGTGGGTAAGTGGCCTGTCTCGGTGGTCTTGCGTTGTCGTTCCTTGTGATGACTGGTCCTCTGGCCATATTTTGGCCGAGGCTATCGTTCAGATTACTCAGAAAATTTCTACATGAATCAGGATGCAGAGACCCTTGGATCATTTGGGCCTGTGTGGGATGGGGGTGATGTGCGTAGTACAGGGTCAGCGTCCGAACGGGGGCTGGAAGTGGAGCACGACAAGCTCCGGTCCGAGAGAGTTTCTGCATTTATCGGCTTCGGCTGGGAAGGGTGGTTCTTCTAATTCTTCTTCACGTCGTTTTATGTTGGAGACAGCAAAGGATTACACAGCTGAAGTCTGAGCTGCAAGATGCGGAGCGCAGACAATCTGAAGAAATTGCCAAAATTGCTGGAGATGAGCCCGTGCCTGCATTGGTCTAAACAAAGCTCGCAGCCGCCACACTGCTACGAGCGCAGAAGCTGGAGAACTGCCAAGGTCCGAAGGTTGGAGCAGAGCGTGAAGGCCTGTTGTGATCTGCTTCGTGGGAAGTCCCAGGACGCTAGTGCAAGTGCGCTTCTCCACGCGAATCTGTTCTTTTCTCGGCTGGTCGTTACAGGGTTGCAAGGTGCATTGTTCAGTCGACACTCCATCATTCCAACATAGACATAGAGGGTGCAGAACGAGTGCGACCAGCACGCAACGCACTCGTCCATCTACTGCTTTTCGGAAAGGGTAGGTGGTCGGGGCATGCCGACCACCAGCAGGAAGAGGTGCTCCCCCTGGAAAATCAACGCCGAACCAGTAGCGTAGTATGCACAAGCTTCATGGACGGTTCAGGGCGCAAGTGAAGAATGTGAAACTTTCGGATATTGAATGCACAAAGCCCAACAACTCCCAGGTCATCCCTGGAGTAAGGAGGAGTAGGAATATAAACTGGAAAAATGCACGCGGCGGATTGCGCCTTCTTCCTTCCCTTCGCGCATTCCGAAGCCGCATCCTGCGATAGGGATCCTCCACTGGTTCCACCCAATATCAGCCCGAATTTTCTCCAAGATGCTGATGCATGGCTGACATGGGCGCTGTGCGTCCAGGACACGCTCAGCTGCCTACCTCAATGATGCAGCTGCCTTCCGTTCGGCGGTAGCTTGAATGCTGCAGTCCTGGTGTCTGGGAGCGTGAAACCAGAGTTGGAGGGGGGATTGTTGATCTAGTCTGTGAGGGCGAAATGTGAGGCTAGCTTGGTGCTTAATTCGGGCGGCAAGCCAAAGTCCATGAGCCTGCACACTTCTCTCGGCCCGTTCTATGCCTCTGGACCACGCGGAGCAGCCAAAAGGATGCCAGCAAAGCTGAACTGTGTCCTGTGTTGTGTGTGTGTGTGTGCACGCACATGACATGTTGCTTGAGCTCCCGTCTTCTGCAGCTGAGTGCTCGTGAATATTGTTGGCTCAGGAGTTGCGCCACGATCCCCCCCAGCAAAAAGCCTGTCAAGTGTGGGTCCCGCTGTAGCACCGAAGGAACAGAAACCATGAAGACTTGAAGACCCCTGAGCACAGTGATCACACTGCTTGCACAGCTCGGGCGAAAAGAGCTTTTGGTTATGGCCGTGCCTGCCGTGACCTTACGGCGTTGCCAGTCTGGCTCTGGCGGCGTCTTCTCATTCTAATCAGTTCCCGCACTGTGAGGCCCACAAAAGGGAAGCACTTGTTCAGGCCCACTTCGCCGGGTTCCGAGACTTGTCTTCCCTATCTGTTAAGTTCAAAGGTTTTTAAGCATATGGTCCTAAGCTTATACGCATGATTGCCACCGTGCGTTGGAGAAGACTTCGTTTGTTCGCCAGAGCAGTCATCTTCGAGAGTCAATGCACTTTCATGTGCTTTAGTTGCTTTTGGGGTGTTTTATCAAGCACGTGTCCGTGCACGTGACCACTCTGCATAAGGGAAGGGGTATATGTCCCGGTCCGGGTAGCTTTGATTGCTCGTCTGAGCACAGCCTTCGCCCGATGAGTGCAGCGCTCTGCAGCCATGGCCCTGGGAAGCACGGTTAGCCCTGGCAGAGATTTCGAGCCGCACGGCTAGTTGCATTTTGCATTGTAGGTACTAGGAAATTCTAGACGTTACCTTCAGGGCTTTTCCTTTCCTTTCTTGCCACTTTTCTGCAAACCGGATCTGCACCAAGGTGTGTTTCAACCGTCTTTGCTGGTTTCCAAGATCCGCACAGTGGCGGCGGATGAGTTGCTCTTGAGCCCGCATTCCAAAGCCCTCGTGGGGGAGGCCGGCAGCGCTCCTTGGACCTATCTCGAAGTCGTTTGGAGCCGAGCATATGCCAAATTCAAACTGCAGATTCCGATTTAGCCCCGTCTTCTTCGTGTTGGCACATGTAGAGCATTACTTCTCAGGACTTGTGTTTTGTCTTGCCAATGCTGCTTGAGGGTTGGCTTTTGCACAACCGTCGACAAAATTGAAAAATAAATGGATTCATTTGTCTTTGTAAATAAAAAATACGAATTACAATGGGAGTGGCAGTGAGAGGGAGCGGGGAGTGAGAGTAAGTGAGTGAGTGAGTGAATGAGGGAGGGGTGAGTGAAGTGCAGAGGGTCAGACCTTTCCCTTCGCCTTCTGGTTTAGACAGTTTAGGTGTTTCGACACTTCCCTACCTGCACTGCGTGCACGATTACTGCCCTGGGATTCTAGGCGGCGTCCATTGTTGAGCTTTCGTCCCAGCCTTGTGGCTCTTAAGTTTTTAAAATGCAGCGGCAGCGGTAGTGTGGATTCAGATTCCATCTGCTTATTCTCAAGTAGAGCACTTTCCACCGCCATTTGCTTGGAATTCCCAGCACTGTACCCGCATTGCTGGACACCAGTGAAATCGGGAGCTTGGCTTGAAGGGCTTCCTGGGAAGACTCGCTGCAAGTGCGATTCGACGTTGCTATCTTCTTTTTGTTAGACGCAGATTAGACGCATGCTACCTTTGACTCACTCCTCCCTCTCTCTCTCTCTCTCTCTCTCCGTGGGCCTGCACACGCCCGAAGGCCCGGCCATGCAACCGAATTGCAATCCTCAGTGGGCGGGAGTTCTGGTCCTCCGCTCAAGGAGATGAGACAAGTCTCAAGACATGCAGGTGGGCCTTAGTGCCTTCGTGGCCTAACTGCGGGCGACTTCTGGGATATCATCGGGTAGACCGGGTAGAGGAATATCGGATAGCATGCGCAGAACCGCAACACGATCTGTAACGGTAGCCGACTTGAATGCAAGGAGCTGTCATGCAACTTGCACGTCTCATCATCATCCACACTGCTTGCTGACTGCACCATTCGACAAGGTTGGATTTCATTTTACGTGGCGCATGAGGTAGCACGAGGCCGGCCACTGTACCAAAGGTAAGCGCCAGCAGCGGCTTTGAACTGTCACAGTCTTTGACGCCACACCTTGACACAGGTCATGTCACTGGTGTTGCCGGCCGTGGAGGAGGCGCTTGAACCTTTCCAAGCACGCGCTCACTGGGGCAAGCTCTTCGTGATGTCACACCCGTGGGACACAGTTGTTACCGAAAGCCTGCGTTGGAGAAAGAAAGAGAAAGAGAGAGCGACTGTTGTCCTTGCAATTCTGCGGTTACCTGTTGCTTTGTAGCGAGCAGCCTATCTGAGAGCAAGGGCAGCAAGGGAAGCGCACAACAAGTCAGCAAAGCAGCCGTCGTTTTGGCCTCGAGGGCTTCAGGTGTTGTGAGTCTGTGTTGTTTGTGAGTTGTGATGCGCCCCACGAGACCAGACAGGCCAGACCTAGTTCACTGGTTCCAAGGTCTGGAAGCGCTCCATGGCCCTGTGCTTGCAGACTTTCGTGCCTTTGCGCGGAAAAAGAATCCCACGGGCAAGTTCGCAAACGAGTGGCTCGGCTGCCTCATGCACGGAAATCCCCGGAAGAAGGTGGTCAGTTCAAGCTGAGGTGGGTAGGCCAGACGATCGGCGACTATGCTGACAAGCCCGACTGTGCCCTCTGAGCCCTCTCAGCCCTTTGAGCTGAAAGAGCGTAGTGCGAAAGTGCAGTCTGCGACAAAGCGCGCCGAAGTGAAAAGAGCCTGGCGGTTGCAGCTGTCGCAGGCCTGTTCCTGTGCGCTGTGGGAAGTTCTTGTCTGCGACCAAGCCTGGCTAAGGCATCTTTGGCAGAAGGGGTCGAGCAGGAGGTCGGGACGGGCATGATGGCGTAGATTTGCGTGATCCGGTCTAAGGCTTAAGTGGGTCATGGTGTGCTCCACCGCAGTCGTTTCGTGCTTTTAAAAAATGCTCTCAGAAGCCTACCGATGGCTGATAGGCCTGGATCACTGTCTTTGTCGTGGTTCAATTATATATGCACAAAAAAGTGAGCAGAAGATGGTGCTTCGTCGTTGCACACGGCTTATGACACATGCGATCCTGCTGTTCTGGCTTCCGTGCAGACGGCCAGGAGTCGGGCTGCCCTTAGAGCTTGAACTAGAACAAACAAACTCTAAAATCATTCGTCCGACTCGGACCAAGCCGGAGGCTTCGGCAATGAGTAATCCTGCTGAAGGCCACAGTCTCCATCAGGCTGTGATTTCTGGATGCAAGCAGGTGCTTTGCACTGCTAGAACAGAGCGAAACAGCAGCGTAGTCGCCGCGGTACGTGAACACGGTGGACTGCCGAAATAGCTGTCCGTGGCCATCTACTTCAGAAGCGATCAAGCCCTCTGCCGGAGAATGGTTGCTGAATCGCAGCAAGAACCATCGCAACCGCTCTGTGATTTAATGCTGGGCCAATCAGTGCGTCTTGCAGATGTGCGGGGTACTGTTGGGGCAGGCCAGTTGAATACAGCATTGAATCTGTTCAGCTTCATGACCTTGCTTTCATGGTTTCCTTGGTGCATGGGCTGCCTGTCTCTGAATTCCAAAGATCGCCTTCCCCCTTGCAGGAGTAGACAAGGACCTGTGAGGAAGTCGCAGCACTGTTCTCAAGCGCTACGTGGTTGCTCCTGGGAGGTTTTGGAATACTTGACGGCTTCTGCCGTCGACCTGCTTCAGGAGCTGCCTTGGACTAAACTTTTGCCTCGATGATCCGGTTGCTTATTGCTGTGCAAGGATGCGATAGGCCGTGACACTTAGAATTGTTCCGCTGCAGGGGTACGTTTAGCAACCTGATGACTTTGTTTTCGCGAGAGACGGCTTTCTCAACTGACGTTGTTACACGACATTACACGACGGGCATACCTAGACAAGGGAAGCAAGGCCTTCGCAGAGGGGATGAACGTGCGCTTGCAGCGCCTGCCCTGCAGGATGCCTCCAAGCGAGCGGAGGCGGCTGAAGAGTTAGAGCAATCAGTGGCGTGCGGATCTTATAAGTGATTCCATCGTCGTGTCGTGCTACGTAGATCAGACGCACCCAGTTTTCTGAGGCCTCATTTGGAGGCCGCCGGCGTGGGGGGCATCGAGGCCTTTCTCAAGGACTTGCTCGTCTCGGACTCAGGCCTCGAAGTGCGGACTCCGTGCGTGCCCTTCCCCGGCCCTTCCCCGGACATTGAAGCCTTGAATCTCAATGCTCTTCTTGCCTCAATGTGCCGGACTCTGAGGATAGGATTTTTCCAGGGAAGGATGCGGCCAAAGAGGCCACGCGCGAATCCAGGAATGTTTCAGACGAAGGTGTGCCTGTTGCATTCAACGGATCTGCTTTGGTGCAGGTTGCCGCTACTTCGAAGTCAGATGAAGACCTTGTTTGTCGCATTCCGTGGCAGCCCCAGAAGGAAAAAAGGTATGCTTTGCTTGAGATTCTGTGGGGTCTAGGGGTCCCTGGTAGTTCGGGTTTTGCTCTTGAAGCCAGGGCTCGGTCATTGGTATCCGCGCTGTAAGAGTTATGCCTGGCGGCCTCGACAAGTGACATGAGAATGGCAAGGCGGGCTGGAGCATGCTGTGCATTGCCGCATGCTGCTGTGTGGGCAATAACTCGGATCCCTGCAGGTCCGGTAGCCACAAGCCATACACACTTGTTCATGTCCGTCCATCGCTTTGTCTAGCATTACGACATTCAGTGGCCAAGCACGGCAACTAGACTGCCCGTTCTGTGCCTAGGAACTTGATCCTGATGTACGGGGGCAGCGTGCTTCGACCGTGAATTAGTGCAACTCTGACTCCAGTGTGTTTTGCTCAATGCGGGTGGCTCTCGCATGTGCTCAGGTCAAGCCGTTGCTGAGCAACACGCTTTTTGAACTTCGACGTGGCCGCCGGTATGGAATCCTACTTAGTTTCTCCTAGCGTAGAAGATCAAGATCCTGAGCTTAATTGTGCTGCATCGGCATGGTCTGTTTTCATCATGCTCTGCTGCTATTAGCCTGACCAATTCGAAGTGGAAGAGGCCCTGTCATGATTTAGCCTTCATGCAGACTCAGGCATCGTTGGACAGAATGGTGCTGGTAAGACAACCTTGATGTCAAGGCCGGCGGGGCGGGCAAGGATAGTTGGGCTCTGTTGCAAAGTTTGTCTTGAAACATTACTGACACAGAATCGCTGCCAGACTCAGGGTTGCTGTTGGCGACTTGCCTGGGATGGAGAAGCTCAAGTGCTACCACTTGGAGCACGAGGAGAGCGCTGCATACAATCAGAGATAAGATCGGACTGCGGAGTGGACTAGTTCAAGTTGCCTTTTTAAGTTTTACAGTCTTGCCTTCCAGGGGATATTGGACAACATAGACAGAAGAACTTCGTGCAGCAGCTTGTCGCAACCAGTCCAAGGACCAAGGACAAGCCATGTTTGCGTGTGCCTGCGACCTGCGAACTTGAGGTGAGTTTGTGAAGCTGAGCCTTGGCTGCAGTGGGAGTCAGGGGCCGGGCCGGGGCCTTTGAGCGCTCTCCATTCCCAGGAAATGCGAAGGAATTGACAGTCGCTCCACAGACAAGTACCTTCACGATGTGGGCTTCGACTCGGATATGTTCAGCAACTTGGCAACGGTCGCGAAGCGTGCGGTCGCGCATGTCATTGACTGAGCTCAGGCAAGCAGGTGGGCGAGTTGAGTGGAGGCTGCCTCTGAACGACTGCATGCCACCTGATGGGTTTCAGTTCAGCACTAACGTGCAGCCAAGCCGTGGATGAAGGGCTGACAGATGCGTTCCCGGAAGCCTTTGAATGCAGGCGGAAAGCGAGGAGATGCATAAGACAGGTTCATGTATGCAGGAAGGATGTTTTGGAAAGTAATCCGTCTGTTTCCGAAGCAACCGGGCATCATGCTGTATCCAGAATTACGGTCGAAATTTGTGTTCGTGCGTTCACCAGAGTCTCGCACATTTCTTAATCGGATATAGCCTTTAAGAAATGTCCGAAATCCAGCACAGTCTCAGTGCTTTTCTTGTTTGACACCTAGTGGGCTTGAGCCCAGGACCTTTCATGAAGTCATATAGGAGCCTTGTCCATTGCGCTGCCTCATCCCATCCAAACTGACCCAGCCCGCCCCGCACCCTCAAAGTTCAACGGCGTGTTGTTTTGGAGTGCGTTGGTGCGTTCGAAGCCAAAACGACGCGCCGTTGAACTTTCGGGACCCCCCCCTCCCCGCCCGGCCCGCCCGTCCCGGCCCCCCCCCCGCCCCCGCGAGCCCGGGCAAGTTCTGAGTTTGGGTTTAAGGGGGCAGGGTTTATTCCCAACGATTTATTGAATGCGTTATGCGTACCTGCATTCTGTCAGCAGCACCCTGTTAACCTCCGGGCGAGACTCTCAATAGTTTTTTTCCGCGTGTGCCAGAGTCTCATTTCTTGTTTGAGAATATTTCTTAACATACTGTACTGGGCATCATGCGATTCATGCTCAAATTGAAGCTCTCTTGAACACGCTGCTCGTTGTCTCCAAAAGTCTCACCCGAAGCTGCGTAGCAGCTGGGTGTCATCATGCGGCTTTCGGTCGCAGAACGGCGAGGAATCAGGAATCCTGGGCGATGACAGGACCTGACTTGTTGGCCAAGATGTGGTGCATAGCCTTGGCTGAAGTAGGCACACTAGGCACGAGCAAGCTCACCTCGTCGGTCGCTGCCCGAACTTCGTCCCCCTGAGTCCGTACTCGATGGAATCCACCGTCCTTTCCTCCAGTTGCTCCAGCACGTTTCGTAAAATTGCCTTTCTTGCTCGAGCGCGTCAGGCTGGAAGATGCGGCTCGCCCTGGCCTGTGCTGTTGCACAGGGTGCGGACGTGTTTTTGCTGGACGAGCCGACAAACCACTTAGATTCCGTCGTCGCTTAGCCGCATTTGTACAGCATTGATTTATCCAGCACCCCGGCATCTCAAAATGGCCTTTGCATGTTCAGGCCGTCCGGTGGCTCCAAAACTACCTGGTGACACAGGCAGCGGCGAGGAGTTTCGCATTACACCGTCTGTCATTGGTCTTGACTGAGCGGCAGGGCAAGAGGATAACCGCCATGATCATCTCGCACGACGCTGGCTTCCTGAACCATGCCTGCACGGAGTCCGGGCAGCAAGAAGACTTGGAGTGAGTGTGGCACCTGGATGTTCAAGACGTGCCGACAAGGACATCGTGCACTTCACAAAGGAAGGAAAATTGGTGTACTACGAGGGAAATTTCGATGCGTTCAGGCGCGAAGAGCCTTCGGGAAAGGTATGGCGGGGCCGAGTTGCCGAGTCGTCGGCTGCGAGCCGAGGGAAAAGACAAAGCTGGATGCCGAGGGGGCCAAAAGTGCCAGGGCCCGAGCAAATCAAAGCTTCGTGATCTCCGTTGCGGCTTGGGGCTGTGAATGGATTTGTTTGGACTCTCGGCCCAGGTATTGACAGTCAGAGGTCACGAAGGGAAGACGCAGGATGATCAAGAGAAGTGCTCCAGCCAGCAATTTTTGGGAAGGGGTGCGCGCAACACTGGTTCCATTGCCATGCCGGACCGCAGGCCAGGGGAAGGCAAGCAATTGGGGGTTTTACCTGCGGATGGAGACGAAGACGGCATGAGATTTCCCATGCCAGGCAGGAGCGAGAGAATGAGGGGGCACAGCGAGCGGGTACGGGGGTGCAATCTCATAATGCAAGGTGTTGGGGGATGATGGCACAACTCTTCAGCTCTCCAACTCAGTCTTGGAGGAAAGATCGAGGGACTCGGCACGGCCAGCAAGCCGGTGGCAACAGCCTCCAGCCCAGTTGCGCTGGCATGCAACGCAATGATGTCAACAAGCTGCAGGTCACCAACCTGAACTTCAAGTACTTCGAGGATGGCCCCTTAGTGCAGCGCGGCCTGAATTGTAGTCATGGATGAGACAGAACGTGGTTGTTCACTCTTCGTGGGAAACAGAAGGAGGCTCAGGACTAGTCACGGGGAAATCTAGAGCTAAAGTCCCAGAGTGCTGGCAACCGCAAGTTCGAAGGTGCGTTAAGCTGTACGTATTCTATTTTGGACTCTGGACGGGGTGGCCGGCAAAACGGCGGCCTCACACAGTCCATCCCCTTGAGGGGTGCGGTCTTTGACCGGACACATCCGGACACCTATGCTTTAGAAACAGGCAGGAAGGCAGTTGTTGCATGCCATCGTCTGCCTGCCAGGTTGAAGGGCGTAACCGTCCGGCTTACCATGGGCAGTCGCATCGGAGTGGTCGGTCGAAATGGAGCTGGCAAATCAACGCTCCGAACTGAGCAGGGTAGCGGCTAGCGGGTCAGCACGTCGGGCATGACTCTTTGGTTTCTTTCAGGCTGTTGAACCTTCTTGCTGGTGAGCTCCTTCCACCCGAGGATGAGACGGGAGAGGACCTCCCATCCCCCGCGCTCCCCTTCCTTTCCGCTGCCCTTCTCTACATGTCCTCGCCCTCCCCTTCCCCCTCCCTCTCGTCTTCCTCCCCCCTCCTGCTCGACGACTCCGGTTTTGACCGTGCAGGTAAGTGCTGTTTGGAGACACAGAAATCTCCGGCTGGCCTATATAGCAGCTGGGCAGAAAGACACGCAATCTACCGTGTGGAATCGTGTCGCGGAGGGATGGCGGTGTGTCGTGATGAATTTGAGAGGCCCAACACCACTTCTTCCACCTGTCCGAGTTCGTGAAGAGTACGCCGTTGCACTACTTTCAAACACGTTTCAGGCCAGGCATTGCTGGAAATCTGTACAATGGACCAGTTTAGTAGGTTTCTTCCTGTGTCTGTGGCCTATGGCTGCCGTGACAGTTGATAAATAGAGACAAGCAGGTCGTTGTTTTGCACTGCGCGGTGTATGTGGGGGTCATTCAGCCTAAGGACCGCAGATGTAGGTGTGGAAGTTACAGCTAGCTCACTTCGGACAGGCTCCGGGCTGTTGTCTTTCGTTCGGTGGTGCTGGTGATGAGGCGACACGCCGATCACCGTCCGGAGAAACTCGTAGGCATCGACTCTGTCAGGCAGGGCTATGATGAAGAGACGCAGCGAAGGCTGACTTTGCCACAGAGTGAGGAGGAGGCTCAGTACAGGAAGGACGCGTGGGCGAATACAGTGTTACAGTGTTGGAAGTCGTGGCAATCGCTCACAATCCAGATGCATTGATCGCAATCCAGATGCAATGAACGGGGCTCGCAGGACATGGCCGTCAAACATGGCAAGCGTGGGAAAGAAGTCGATGCACTGCTATCCAGACAGAAGATGCTTTTAAAGATTTGGCTCCAGGTTTTGCGATTTTCGGTATGGGAGTGTCGTCGCTAGCTGTGCATTCTCGGCGATCGCAGTGCCGAAAGCATGCTGTCCAAAATCAAAGCCGTGCGCTGTCTGCTACTGTTGGCTCCTAAAGATCCTAAAGCCTCTTGCAAACGGCGGCTATCGTAAGTGCCTGAAGTGGTTTAGCAACTGCCTCTCATCGTCTGCTGCAGTGAGGAGAGGCCGGCAGATCCTGTATGAGGTGAAGTGGAAGGGTTTGGACGACGCCAAGCAGCCGCTCGCTTTGCAAGCCGTTGCAGCTGAGGCCGTGGAGCTTCCACCCTTGCCATGCCAGGAACACCTACGAGCCCCTCACCAAACTGCGACTTCTGGGCGTCGAGAAAATGTGTATCTTGCATGAATCCATGCACTGCCACCGTAGCGGCGGGTTTTCCTGCTTGGACATCGTTACAGGTGCAGCTCTCGATGACAGGATAGCATGTGCTGAGACGGCGATGCGACCGCTCAGTACCAGGGAAATTGTCAAGCATCTGGAGCTCCGGCGGACGGATTGAGTAGGCTTGAGGAACCATTGATCTCAGCACGAACTGCGCAGCCACTTCTGGTGTCCAAGCGAGGAACCATTCGGGATTACGGAGAACATGACCTGCCATCGGATGATAGAAGGCTTTTCTGCAGGGCAGAAGAGAAGCTGACCCGCATTTGTCCTAGGGACTAGGGGATGTTCCGCTGCAGTTTTTGAGTCAGACCGTCTGGCTGTGGCCGTGAAGGTAAGCTGATGATGGCCGCTGCAATGTGGACAAAGCCGCACGTCATCGCGTTTGATGAGCCAACAAATTATTTGGACTTTCAGCTTCTCGCTTGCACTAGAACCGCATAGAAAGGCTGGCTCTCGAAACATCTCGCAGCTTCACTTGTCGACGACTTTGCCTGGACTCATGATAAACTTTGGTGTCGCGAGGACGGTCAGCTCACTTGCAAAAGCAATCAAGCTTTTCAAGGGTGGCACCATTGTCGTTACACACAATGCCGAGTTCTTGCAAGAGACGTGTGATGAGATCTGGCATGTGGAAGATGGCTGCGTGAAAATCGAAGGCAGCCACAGGTTTGATTGTTAGCTAATCTCCGGACGCTCCTGGACTAGAGGGCTGCTGACCCGCTTTGCAGAAAGCTCATCATTTTGGGGTATTTTTAGGATGCTTCTATGCAAAGCTCAAGATCGGCCAGGTTTGGACACGTGTCAATTTGAGGAGGGGCATGGCGGCGTGGTAGGATATCAAACATAGCAAACATGCACAGTTCTGGCAGTGGCCACTCCCAGACCTTAACGATGTTCCTTCCGTTTGACATGCGAGATGCCCTGCAGTGTGGACATGCGGAGTTTAGAATGATAGGTATAGCACACAGTCGGTGCTGACGGGCAACAGACAAGTGTGTCCTTTCGAAAAAAAGAAGGTATAGCACACCTGCGTGGCATCGCGATTTGCTAGTGTACGAAGCCGGGATTGGCTCACGGGGGATTCAGGCAGGCTTGTGAGTGTTAGAATCGCACCAGTGAGTCTGGACGTTCAGGCCGTGCTGGGAAAACTTATGCGAGCCACCCCTGCATGCAGCATCATAGATATCGCTGATCATCATCCAACATCGCGACTCGTCAATTCCCTTTCGTGACTGCGCAGGCAAGGACGGCGCCCTCAAGAGTCTCGCGGCCAAAAACGCAGCCGCCAAAGCCGAGAAGGCCAAGCAAAAAATGGAAGCTGCCCGGGTCAAGGAGGAAAAGGCTGCATCTGGACCGTCTGAAGCCGAGAACGCGCTTCAAGTGTATTTGCAGGCGCGGCAGAAGCTGGGTGCACCGAAGGCTGATATCAAACTGAACAGCATTGATCTGCGGTCACTGGATGGCTCTGAACTTCTTCTCGGCACAGACCTCACGCTCAATCAAGGGCGCCGTTATGGTTTGATCGGGCGCAATGGCGCGGGCAAGAGCACTCTACTGCGCGAGATTGCATACTACAAGTTTGACAAGTTCCCCAAGAATCTGAAAGTGCTGATGGTAGAACAGGAAGTTACCGGAGATGATCGCAAACCCATCGAATGGGTTCTGCACAGTGACGTAGAGAGGAGGCTCTTGCTGGAGGAGCAGAAGCTTCTTCAAGAGAAGGACGCACGCGATGCGTCTGAGTCGGAACGACTGAAGCAGATTGCGGACCGGCTCCAGGAGATTGGTTCTGATGATGCAGAGCCACGTGCTGCCAAAATCTTACGAGGCTACTTGCCGGCATTCGCAGGTGTAAGTTCTTCTTATTGAAGGTTGATGTCTGCGCATGCATCGACATGGTCACGGTCCTGTCAGGACTTCAGTTCACGGATGAACTGCTGGACACGCCCACATCGTCTTTATCTGGTGGATGGCGAATGCGTGTGTCACTGGCGTCGGCACTTTTTGCACAACCTGAGCTGCTACTCCTGGATGAGCCAACAAATCATCTGGATTTCCCGGCTGCTGCTTGATTTTGCAATCGGGTGTAGTATCTTTGAGGAGCTATGCTGCGTACGTCTCTGCCCGCGCGCAGGTTCTTTACCTTCAGGATTACTTGCTTTCGTGCAAGAACACTTGTCTTATCGTCTCGCATGATCGGGGCTTCCTCAACGCCGTGTGCTCGGACATCGTTCTGCTGAACGGCAAAAAGCTGGCGTATTACAAGGCCCCGTTGCTTCGGGGAATAGTTTCAGCACATGTGTCGCATGGTAGTTCTAGATTGTCTAGATCTTGCAAACATGCAGGGCGACTACGATGCATACGTGCAGACGGTGAAGGAAACTCGCCTAGCTCAGCAGCGAGCTTATGATGCACAGCAGAAGGAGATATCTCACATATTGGAGTTCATCAACAAGCATGATGAGCGACCCAAGATTGTGGCACAAAAGGCCGGCAACTTCTGTTCATGCGCCATCCTAGCTGCAATGCCTTCTGAGATCTTGTAGAGCATCTAGAGTCATCATGTTTCTCGAGACTGCGGTCCCAGGCCAGCAAGCAAAAGATGCTAGACAAGATGGAGAAGATCGAAGACCCTGCAATTACCTTCAACGACGCTGCATCACTTTCCATCCGATTCCCGGAACCTGGCCAGCTGCCAAAGAATCAATTAATTCAGTTCGACAACATGAGTTTCGCCTACGCTGGTAAAGCACCACTTTTTGAGAATGCAACTGCCAACCTGGACATTTCTGGACGGATTGGCATACTGGGCGCCAACGGTGACTCTTGGAACAACAAGAGGGACTGTAACCAGAAAGTATTTCAGTTCAATGGGATTCGAGATTCTGGGTCTTAGGTTTTGCAAGCACAACAGCTGAGGCTGGCAAGTCCACCTTGCTCAAAGTCATGCAAAAGAAGCTCATACCAACAGCTGGACAGATCGATGTCAATCGCAACGCCAGGATAGGTGCGCCGATTGCACGACACCTCTAGTCTTTTTGTTTCGGGCTATCAAGTGGTTATTCTTGCAGGTACCTTTGCGCAGCATCATGTGGATTCGCTCGATCTCGATGCGACGTGTGTGGATTGCGTGCAAGCTAGTTTTCCAGGCATCACCGATCAAGAGGCGCAGTCAGAATCAAACGTAGCACGACGTCGGAATTTGTATGGACCGTGAATTGAAGTAGCAATATCTGGACTCGGATGCAGGCCCGAAGCGTTTTGGGACGATTTGGAATCAGCGGCTATGTCCCTAGATCGTTGCAGGCAACATACTTACGGGACATGCAGCACATCATGCCAAGGTGACATGGCCCTCAGACGAATCAAGACCCTGTCTGGTGGGCAGAAGAGCCGTGTCGCGTTGGCTATCGTCACCTATCGCCAGCCTTTCAGTCGCAAGGAGAGTCTCGGGCACGAAACTCCTATCATGGCTTCGGATTGCTTCGGGTTCTTCACCGTAGGCCGCACTTGATTTACCTGGACGAACCCACAAACCATCTGGACATGGAGACGATCGATGCTCTGGTCGACGCCATCAAAGAATTCCACGGTGCTGTGGTGATGGTTCCCTGCCAGAAAAAGCGAATCAAGGGCTGAGACGGTGAACGAAGGCATCGTGTACTACTCTTCGGATCGTTAACTGTTTTCAAGCTCGCTAGCCAATTTGGGAGCTTTGGCTCGGATCCGCAGATCAGGCCGACGGAACTCTTGCTTGCAACTAAGGTAAGCCACGACCAGTACTTTCTTTCCCAGGTAGCTACGGAGTTCTGGTCCGTAGCTGCAGGGAAACTATGTGCACCCTGCCTGTGCTATCCATCGTCGCATACAACTTCATTTGGACTTATGGCAGACCAAGCCCAGGTGTACCGTGATCTTGCTTCCGCGAAAGCGGCAACTTACGGATGCTCGGCATAGTCTTGAGACGTTGTCTCCCAAGAAGTGCGTGGTCTTTGCACACTTACGGTACTGTCTGGCACGGGTGCTGTCTTCAAGAGCCGAAGGCTGAGACGACTCCTTTCCACGTTCGCGTGCGCTTCCACGCCGTACTCGAGCTCCCAGACGAAGGTTAAACACCTGCAACCTCAGTCATCATGCTTGCGAGCCCGGACAGCGCAGACAACTGACCCTCGTGCTGGTCTGACTCCAGCATCGGAAGGTGCCATCGTCAGGAAAAGAGAGACTCACTGCTGTTGCAGCTGGACCCATGTTTGCAGTTCAGGCGGTAACTGTCTCCATGCAAAGCGCAGCTTGCATCTTTTGCAGCCCAGCGACACGTCTGCCTGGTCGGCCGCACTTCATGCCTCAAGGTTTTGACTAAGTTATAGCTGGCGGTAGTTGTTTGCGGCAAGTCCGCCGCTCCAAAAGTTAGAGCCTCGGCGGTGTGCAGAGCGTGCCACTTGCCCTGCCAGAGCTTGTGCTACAAGGTATGGATCTGCAGGACATGATGCGTGACCTGACGGAGTCGATGAGGGCGGCGAAGACGGATAGTGAAGCACGACGCTCGACTGAGACTGGATTGCTGCTGAGAGATGGCAAGCTTGCTGCTGAGCTCGCTTGGCTTGATGTTCTCAAGCAGCTTCACAGAGAGGCGTTAATTGCTGAGACACGAATTGTCAATGCCGACGCAGGTAGAGCTCGAAGGCGAACGGAGCCCAAGCCTGCACCCTCGAAAGCCGACGAAGACTTCGACTTCGAGGCTTTGGCTGCAGCCCGTCTCCCGCGTTTGCCTGTGATATTGCCAGGGGCCTCGGTCTCATGCAAGGGACGACGTGAAGGCGGCAGGCCGGCCCCAGCATCGGCGGCGAAGGAGTCTTTACCCTCGCCCTGCCAATCCCTAGGCCGCAAGCGGAGGAGGCTCCGGCTCGCGGAAATCAACCAAGAAACGGCTGATCCGGCCCTTTGTGATGCCGTTTCGAACTCGGAGATCAACTCCAAGAAGCAAAAGTCAGAGCCCGCTGACTGCCAAAGAAGCGGCACTCCGAGACGGGCTCGTGCTGAAAAGGACCAGAGGGAAGTCACTGGGAAGGAGGAGTGGAAGAAGCAAGCGCCTGGAACTGGAGCAGACCGTGTCGAGTGCGGCGGGAGGCAGGCTGTCATGTGGGCAAGGTATTTTTGTGGATGTTGTGGTCGACGTCAAGGTTCGGTTGAAAGGCGTCTCATCATCCTTACTCGGCAGGTTGGTTGGCCCTTGGGTTTTCGTGAGGTTGTGTCATGTTGCTTTGTATCTCTTAGTTGACTTCGGACTGGACTGACTAGTGATTCGCCGCTTCGCAGAAGATGCCTGAGACTTCCAGGAAGTAATCCTTTCCTTCGCTCGTTCAGAGTTTGTGGCTGATTCTGCTGCCTTTCGCAGTTTTGAGTTGTACTGCTAACCTGTTTCGCCTAGAGTCCTCCCCTGGTCATGGGTGAAAACAGTTAGCTGGATATCTTTTCAGCACTGGGCAGCGCTAGCTGGCGTCGCCGCACATCGTAGAAAATGTTGACGTGTGAAACGGAGCTGCGCGTGTGGTGCAATCTCCTCGCTGCGTGTCCGGCTTCTCCGGTAAGCGCGATCCATTGTAATTTCCAATCCTGTACCTTGGCCTCATGTTGGTGCCGAACTGTCGACCCTTTCGGTCTCGATAGAGGCGGCCTGTGCGCGTCCCGCTCAGTGCGACCCATCATTTTCCAATGCATTGGCCTCACGTTGGTCTGGGAAGCGCGATCTAGTGTGAATTGCAACACATCGGCCTCCCGTTGGTCTCGAAGCAAGAAGCCTCTTGGTGGACCCGCACACACCGGGGCGCTGCAAGTTTAAGTTTGGTTGGCCGTGCATTCAGGCCAGTACTTGGGCACTTGGCAAGGGGGAAGTATTGAAGTCATGTCTGTGCATCCCGCAAGTGCATGTGGGAGAAGCATCTCGGCCTTGGCCGTGCTCCTGAAGGGTTTGCAGAACTGTGTTTCGAAAGGTTTGTATTTAACAAAATGGTTTGAAATTGAGGCTATTGAGACGTTCATAGAAAGTGATTTGGAAGGGTTCATAAACACGGGCTTTAGAAGGATGGCTTTATAGAAGGTAGCGGGCGCATAGGGTGTCGTGTTACTTTCCGGTGTTATTTTGATTGTTCAGGACATTTCAGGATGATTCCAGGATTCCATGGGGTGGTGTGGGGTGGGGGGAAGGGGGGAGGCGGAAAGCGTTTTCGCCACTTTACGCAACATACTGCAGAACAGTGTACGAAAGCAAAGTAACACTGCACCCTCTGCACCCGCACCCTCATGTACACTTGTAGAAGGGATTGATACAGGGATTTATCCACAACAATTTCTCGAAGGGACAAAAAGAGGCATGTATGGAAGAGAAAAGCTTCATAGATGCACTCCATAGAAAGGCTTATAGACATAGAGTTGTTCGTGTAAGAGTTTCTGGAAGGGCTTATAGAACGGCCTATGATGAATTGATGGATGGATGGCTGGATGGATGGATGGATGGATGGATGGATGGATGAATGGATGAACGTATGGACGGATGGACGGATGGACGGACGGATGGACGAATGGACGGATGGACGGATGGATGGATGGATGGAGGGATGGAGGGATGGATGGATCATGAACAGATGCAAGATGGGTCGTCGGATGGATGCTTGAATGGATGCAAGGATGGCAGTCTCACCTTGCTACAGACCAGGCCATAGCTGGACATGCGAACGCGAAGGTGAGTTTGCAAGGTCCCCGTCCACAGATTCCCAAAGCAAAGGCTCACTCGCGCCAGTGGGGCCCTTGCCATTTGTGCATGTGTCCTTCTTCCATATACCTTGCTGCTTGCTCTGGGCATGGTGTCATAGTGCTGTACCTCCAGCCAGAGATGCCGCAGCGCCAAGTGTACGATTGGTTGACATTAGATCAGGGTTCTCATGCCCTGAGGTCCAACGAGGCCCAAAAAGTCGAAGCCGAACCGCGTGCATTGAATCAGAGGCTTTCGAAGTGCCGCAAGGACAGGGGCAGGTTAGAAGTCAGTTGGCGATCACGCGGGTGTTCGCAGATAAAGTTGCATGCCGTGCAAGCAGCGAGCACAGCAAGTGCAGTGCAACAAGCAAAGAGTGGGCAAACCAGGAATCCGAGCAGAACATCGAGCGCACAGATCCTTCTGAGCAGACTTTGCTGCACAACGGGGTCTGGCACTTTGTTTCAGTCTGAATCGTCTCAAGAGGCGGCTCCAGCGCAGTTTGACGTGAGGTCGCAGACTCCGCGCCCAGCCCGCCGGAGTTGAACACCATGCGAAGCACTTTAGAAGGAATGTGGCAGGCATTCACCCAGCAGCTACTCAAGCTAGGCGTGCTCAGTGCCAGCAGCGACTCACTCTCGCGATTATTAGGCTGGCTTGCCAAGTCGTTTGTTCCGGGGACCAGTGACCCCGCTGCCATGGCCAAGAAGCTGACGGCGGCCAGCGCTTTGCTTGATCTGGGTGCTGCTCTGCTGGACGACGACTCCACTGGAATGGACAGCTCCACCAACCCTGCTTTCGACTTTGTGAAGGCTTCTTTTCTGGGGCGTGCTATTCTGGCCAACGTGATTGCGCTTGATGTCAGAAACACGGGCCGAAGTGCTGCTGCAACACTTGAGCATGTGCCCTCCAAGCAGCAGCTCAGCAGCATCATGAACCTTATGAACTATGCCGGTGAAACGGGCAGCACAGTCCTTTGGAAAGAACTGGCCCAAGACATTCAATCGTGCTGCACCCTGGTCTGAACCCCAGCACCTGCTACAGTACCTCACTTTGCGTGTGGCTGCGCTTCCCTTTCGCGACTTGAGGCGTTGTCGGAAGAGACTGGCAGCAAACAGAAAGCGGCGGAGCAGTTGTCGACTGCCTCGTCGGAACCTCATGAGAAGCCAAGGCGAGGGGCTTTTCGAAGTGTCGTTTACAAGTTTGTCGTAGAGGTGAGGGTATTTCACACACACACACAGCCAAGAGCAGACTTGTTGTCTCTCCGCCGGGCATGGTAGCATTGGCCCATGTGCATCTCTGCTCTGGCCCCTGTGCCTCCCATTGTCGCTATAATCAAACCCAAACCCCTTTGCGCCACCCACCCCTTTCCCGCCACAGCCTTGAAAGCTCCGCGCGCCACGGCCATGCGAGTCTTAGTCAGTCTGTTCGCGGCATGTGATTGCGTGATCGTAGAATAAGGCCACACGGACCAAGTCATCGGATGGAACTATACTGGTCACAACAGCGGGCGAGCCTTTCAGCTCGCATAGATCTGTCTGTCCTGTCCATGGAAGCGTGGGCGAAAGTTAGCTCGGGCTTCTCGGACCTCTGAAGAAGAAGAAGCCGGTTGCCAGCAGTGGAGCTTTCACTGCGGAATGCGACTGGACATTTTAACAGCAATCAAGCACACTGCCTTCCGTTCCGGTTCTGTGGTTCGCCTGGGCGAATTACAGAGTGACCGAGTCTGACGAACGACGAGCCATGTTTGTTTATTGTTTTGTCGCCTAAAGCTGTCGACGGCATTGGGCTGCGAATGGGGCTCTCCGGAGTAACTCATGATGTTCGAAGCCCGGACCGTGTTTCCGGCACAGCTTAACGAAATATTGGTCATCTGCAAAGGGACAACTGCCGACGACCTGCCAAGGCAGATAACATGTGCTGCTGCCGTCGCAGCTGTTGCGGCCTGTAGCATCTCTGCTGAGGAGGCTGGGGCCTGGAGGGCTCAATGCAAGCGCTGCAGATCGCGAAGCAACGTTTGTGACAAAGGGCCAAACCGTGAGTGTGGTACAGGTGCTCATGGAACAGGCAAAGCGCCTGGCATTATTGGAGGCGATCGTAGCGTAGCATGTCGTTTGGTTGTTCAACACCTAACATGCGAGCAGACCAGGCGCGGTGTCGAGTTCGTACAGCTTGTAGCCAAGCTGCTTGTGCAGCTGTGGTCAGTCTTCGGAAGGAGATTGGTCAGGCTGGGGGCTGAGTGATTCCGGCAGGCTAGCAGCTAGCAGACGAGCTGCGACCAGGCTGAGAGCGGACAGGGCTGTGGCACTGCGGAAGTTTTCCAAGCAGCAGAAGCCGAAGCGGAGCAGCAGAGCAAGGCGAGGTTGTCGCTGCGGACCGGGTTTCTCTCGGATGCCGCCGCTCCACAGCAGAAAGCCTCGTGGGAGGCACTGCAAGTCCTGTGGGAAGAGTTGGAGAAGGGTCCGGCGCTTGGGCGTGAAACGGGCATCAGTTCTTGTTAATTGTTCGGTGCTTCCCCAGCCGGTGCGCATGACGTTCCAACTCGTTAGTTTGAAGCTTCGCAGGGTCATCCGAACTTGAGGTCGGAGCATTCTGGCCAGTTGGTCTGCTATTGCCCAGCACCCAGTGGCAATCGCGATTTGAGTCAGGAGATCTGTGTAGTTTGAAGGCCCGGCCGATCCGCAGGTCCGAGCAGGACGGCCAGAGCCCTGAGCATCTGACTTCTGTCAGTCATGGTTGTGTAATTTCGTGGCTCAGGGCCTGTGCCGAGCCTCTCCATGTCAGACTGGGCGGGGGAGCAACACGAGACGTGCACCGAGTCTCTCTGCTGAGCTGAGCAGCTGAGCAGGTAAGACTCGAAGATGGCCAGCACATCAACGACTCTCTCCTCGATTTTTTCGTGAATCGGCTTGCCAATGGCCTGGTGCGAGTTTGAGCATCACTTCAGCCTAAGCTCAACTGTAACTCCCCAGGTTCAAGTTTTTGGGGGCTGGTTGAGACCTTGGCGATTGCAAGCATCCTTGACCTGGATGCTGTTGCGAAGCTTAGTGCCAGAGTCAAGCCGTGGGGATACAGCAAGGCGAGTCCACGCCTTTAGCTCCCACTTCTTCGCGATGTTGGCCGGATGACCGAGTCTTGAAAGCGTCCCAGCTCGCAGCGTGACACATGGATCGATGCCGGCGGCGAATTGGCTCAAGGCTTGCTTCAGGCTTTCTGATTCCGCCATTTCCACATCATGAGTGGGGCGCTCTGGCAAGAAGTTTCGAATTTACATTGCAGCGCGAGGAGGCAGATGCAAAAGCATCCGGAAAGTTTGACTGTGAGACGGGGATGGACGCTCCAGAGTCTTGCGCACACCATTCCAATCATTTTGCGCCTCTGCGAGTTCTGTCTTATGCGTTTCCGACGCCATGGGTGCTGCACCGCAGAAGTTGCGAATGCTCGCCAAGTGCCGAGTCAGCTTCGGTCAAGAAGCTCCCAATGGGGCAACAAGCGCCAACAGCTGCGGAGCTTGCAGACGAGGCCTTTTCTTTGCGCCAGCCTTGAGAGGCTTTGTCCAGTCCGCCAGGTACAGGCTTTGCCTGCTCCAGTTTCCAACGAGTCGCTGTGGATCGCCAGTTGTCGCCGACTGGACTCCATGTCGCGCTTCTCCGAGAGGCATCGGATGCTTTACATGTTCCCGCCTCGACGCTGGTCGAGCGCGAGTGCTAAAATGTTCCCGTCTCGCTCCACTCGTAGCCTGAGTTTCCTGACGGCGCTCAACCACTTTCTCTGCAGCCGAGGTTTGTCCTCTACATGCCAGACTGTCGTCCTTTCTGTGACAAGGGAAAGACATGCAAGCGCTTCCTTCGTAGCACGGCCCAAAAGTTGATACTTTTCAGGGTGCTTGCAGTTAGTCAGCGAAGGGAGACGAGTTCGGCTGCCCCGATTTCGCCAAGGAGGCAACCACGACCTCTTTATGCATGTGTCGCCTGATGTTCTCCAAGCTGCGGCAGCAGATGCCTGGCTGCACCAACCTAAGTATGGCTCGCGCGGCCTCCAGCTTCTGTGGCGATCGCCGGCAAGAACAGGAGCATTGGAAGCTCCACGGGCCCACGACGGTCGTCAACTTTCCTGACATACGAGACGTTTTCTTGCCGTTCGTGCCGCGTTGCTGGCTGAGTCCAGGCTGAAGTTGGCCCTAAGCGCCAGCACTGTTGCAGTAGCAAGCCCATTCGGGTCCGAGGATGCCACCGTATTCGGACAGACAGGCAGGTGTGACACCATCAAGTTTACCAGAACCTCTACAGCAGCGCGACGTAGTGGTATTCGTGCGCCACGCATGCATTTCTCGATGCTAGTGACAGTGGCTGAAAAGTTCTTTGTAGTGGTCGCTGCGGGCTCAGGCACGGGTTCCGATACGGCACCCTTCGTGTTGTGAAAACGTGCCGGGCACTTCAGTGTACCCTTCGCAAGCACTCGGTGCTGGCATTTCTCTGGCCTTCGCACAAGGGAAAACACTCCTACAGCAAGGCCCGCCGGCGGCCCAGTCGTTTTGCAACGGCAAACACGGCATGGTGGAAGCGTCAGAAGCACAAAACTGCGCAACCGATCCAAGGCGCAAAAGCAACAGAAGCAGCTCATCTGCTTGGGTCGCTGCTACGGCTGCTCTGTGAGCACTGTTCTTCAGTGGTCATCTTGGCTCATAGCCTTGGCTGCCGAGTGGCACTAACTGCACTTCGAGACAGCCTGGGCAGGGCGGCCAACGTCCAGTAGCCGGGTTGCAAAAGCTGTTGCAAATGTGCTTCCATAGAACCGAAAGTGAGCGGTTGCGAGAACTTTCGCTGTACCAAGCAGGACGGAGGCATGCCAAGTCTTGGTTCGTAACTTCTGCACCTTCCGATCCTCACGGCTAACAAATGTGCTTGCGTCAATTGTTTCCCATCGCCAAGTGCTGATTGAAATTTTGAGATCCGGCAGCTAGCACAACAATGACGGCTCTCGGAGACTTCCAAGCGGGACTTGCTCTTCTTAGCCTGGGAGTCGCTTGCATCGGCCATGCTTGGCCTCAACTGCCTTTGCGGACTTGGCATGCTGGCAGCTGGAGATCGGGCCGTCTATAAGACAAAATCTTGACCATTTCAGAAGCTTGCTCTTTCGTCGCGGGAACGTTCTCCGTGGCTCCGGGCCTCACATGGGACCTGTGTTCTCATTCCAAAAGCACCCTTCCAGTCTTTCGGCTGGTCCCGCCTTTGTCCCTCATGCCAAACTTTCGAACTCGAGGATGGATCGAACACCTCTTGGAGCTTTCGTCCTGCTATGTTTGTCCTCGCATCCTCCATTAGATACTCTGGCCATGTCCGAGTGTTTGCTCGGGTCGCAAGTTCTACAGATGGACCAACCCCCCGAATGCCTCGAAGACCTTGAACGGGCAACTGTTGTCGGTCAGCGAATGCCAGCAGGTTTAGGTTTGATGAGGCGCTACTGGACGTCTGCTGCACGTGCATTGTTGGAGGATGCGATAAGTCTTTGGGTAGTTGGTTCCATCGATGTGTCGTGTTAGTGCGCACCCAGAGTTATCGATCCATGTCGGCCCCACAAGGATGCCAGATTTGGACCAAGTTCGTGAGGTATGTGGCTCTGCTGGGTGCTGCCGTGGCTCGGGATTCTTTGCAGCCAGGGCAAGAGTTCGACCGGCAAAAGCATCTCGAATGCAATCGAATGATTAATGACGTCCATTGCGTTTGCCACTGCAGTGACAGATCGTCCGGAAGTGTATGCAACTTTGAGCCCCGGCTCCCGGCCAACCGAGATGGGTTCAACTGTTGTCGGATTTTCTTTTTCACTGCTTAGGCTCTCAGTCCAGCAGTTGGACGTTCTGTTTTCTCAGCAGGACCCGGCTTTGTGAGTGTCTCGATCATAGCCTTTCTCAGAGGATGAGACGTGCCACCCTCTCCCCCCTCCCGCCCCCTCCCCGAACATACAATGATACTGATACCATTCCTGCCGTGCACAAGACCGTCGTGATACTCCGTAACATGGGTGTGAGGAATCTTAAACTCCCCTAAAATATGCGATGCCTGAATACATCGAAAACTTCACAGTCCCATGGCTTTTAAGCGCTGGCCAACGGATCTCCTGTGACTCGCAGCAAGTAACTTGAGTCTGCGGAAGCCGGGAGCGCCCTGCTGTGTCGGGTTGCCGAAAGCCTCTCCGCCTGTCCGCTGCGGCCTCTCCGCTCCCGAGCTTTGCCGAATGGCTCCTGCAGGACAGCATCCTGCGGAAGTATTTCCGGCTGGGTGAGACGGCTCACGCCTGGTTCTCTGAGGAGCCGGCAATGTTGGCAATGGCCAATGGCGCACTCGGTCTCGCAGGGCCTACTGGGCCTCTTCCAGACACTGCAATGCTGGACCTGTCCTCCGAAGTCACATCACATAGCGAAGCTCAGCTCAAACCAACTGCCACTCTCGTCAGTCTGTTCTCTCGTTGATGAGGTGGATTGCTTGCCCAAGTCAATGTCAGGCCGAGAAGTACTTGCTCGCCCCTTCCACTCTACTGCGGTTGAGTGAGCAGACGAGCTCAGACGCATGCGCTTCCATGGCTTTGGAAGGCGAGGAGATTTCTGCTTCGCTATTCCAGCCGTGGGTTGACGATAAACAGCACAGTGCGATCACTTGTTGCAACTGATGCTGCCAATGCTGCGAGGCGCCCCTGGTAGCCCAGCAACTGCTGGTCTCGATGGACGAGATGACAGAGAGTCGGAAAGCAGTGGCGAGTCAGGCCTCGAGCAGATGTCCTCTAGCCAGTCACTGAGTTCGTTGATTGTCAATGGCAGCCTTGAAGACACTCTAGCTGAAACTCTATTCCAGTAGCTTGTTCTTGCCTTGCCAACCAGCCAGCCAGCCAAAGCTAGCTGCACGTTTTTCTCGGTTGTTTGCATATTGCTTGGATGGGAGTCTAGTTCCGGAAGTCACCCTGCAAGGTGTGAGCTCTGATGGATCTTGATGCGTGCCTGCAACCATACTGTAGCACAGGTGGAGCTTACGGAGTCAGCATCGGATCTTCGGATATTATGCAGTCTGCTCAATGCCAATGCCCTATAGCCGGGATCGCGGGCATGAGTCTTGCCTCGCGACTGCTTGCATTCAAGATCTATCAGTGGAGCTTGGCCCACCCATTGTAGCCAGTGCACTAAGCAAACTCTTCAGTCGAACAGAAAATACAGTAGGAATGGATTTATGCTGGACAGCGAAGCTGTGCACCAACGAATCCCAGCGAGTCGACCAAAGCAAGTCGAAGATAATCTTAGCGTCTTTTTGCGTACTGTCCATGAAGCGGCGCCATGGCTCCAGCTCCTGTCTGGGAAGTCGTGGGCGGTGGCGACTTTGGTTCCTCACAAGCATAATCTAGATTGGCAGTTTGGGATTCCTGCGCCTCTGAGGTGGCATTCTTGTGCGCCAGGGAAGCGAGCTCAGCTCACAGCCCTGCAGCGAGCGGCTCTCCACCGGCGCTGTTGTGGAGGACGGCCCTCAAGCCCCGTGAAGCTTCACCATTACCCCAACAAGTCCCCACATTTCGACAACCGGCGTAGTTGCTGATGGGGTGGCGGAAATGCAGTCACGTCTTTTTGCTGGATTTGAAAGCCAGGCCTTGGCTGCACTGCAAGTCCTAGGCTAGGATGCGTGAGCATCCGCGAAGTGCGGCTGTGTGGGAAACCATGCCAAACCCAACATCTTAACGGTGACAGAGGCAAAAAAACTGTGACGTCGCGGGCCGCAAGTAGAATTGGTTCTTTTGCTTCAATGCTTCATCGGGGATTTTCTTTATCTCAGTCGGAAGTACTCAGTCGTGCTATTGACTGTTGTTGAGGTGTGAGACATGGTAAAACTCGAGTATAGACTTCCGGCAGAGCATACTGTTCACCTTAACCGTGGTTTTGCGTGTCTTGGAATTTCCGATCAACCAGTGTCCCAGGTGTTCCAAGTATCTGTGGCAACAACGAGAACTCATGCGACCAGCCTTCAGTTGCACAGCCGAAACAACACTGGCTTTGCTTCCAGCCTCGTGCGACGGCAGGCTCAAGCGCGGCTCATGCCCGGTAAACGAAGACGGGCGGGGCAAGTGCAACGCGAAACAGTACTGAGTTCAGATTTTGTGCATGAGAACAGAGATCGCAGGCGGAAGGCAAGGACGTACACGGGCCTTGCCGAGAGGAGCTGGAGCGATTGGGTGAGCGGCTTCGCTACCGAAGGCTTCAAGGCCTCGGTCCAGAAAGCGGCTGGGCGAACGCCTCAGCGAGAGGAAGTTTTTTTCGTCGCCTGCCCTCTCGCTTTGTCGAGGTCACTGTCCGTCTTGGCCTGAAGGCAGGGTCCGGCGATTTTTCAAGCGGTAGCAGGGACGCCTTCGACAGGAGCTCCTGCGCAAGACTGTGGACAAGAGCCGCAACGGTGCAGAGGATGATCCCCCAGGCGAAAGTTTCTCCAAAGCAGCGTCGCCGGGAGGCTTCCAGCAAAAGATTGCCACAGGACTCCTGGCATGCGCCAGAATGTCAAGTGTCTGAGTACCAAGTTGGAGCACTATCGTGCTTTCTAAAGCCCCGCAGAGTGAGGAAAGAAGGTGCGAATCATATCCTTGAAAAGGGAGGACTACCAGAAGTACAACGGCAAGAACGGGGCAATCATGGGATTCGATCCTGCGACTGGGCGCTACTCTGTGCGGCCTGGCTGGAACATACCTGTCCTCCGGCACCTTCCAAAGCCACCCAATCTCAGGAAAGTGGTGATCCTCAGCGACAAGAGTGTAGGCCTACAGGCAGAGGGTGCGACCCTCCTCTTGCTGAAGGAGGACCCCAATCACGTAGCATTTGGAGTGCACACTGCGTTGAAGGCAGTGGCAGAAGCGATGGCGTTCATGAGCTCCGCCAGTACTATTTTAGTCGTTATGGTCTGTAAACCCGCAGTTGACAAGCACCCGGGCTGAAGCCTACCCGGGCTCAACCACCAGTTTATCAACACAGTGTTCGCATAGGACAACATTGAGCTCCATCCGGATCAGCCGCTTGGCATTCAGCGTTGTCAGGAAGGGCTGGTTAAAGAGGGCAGAGCTGCAGAAGAGAGCAAGGTGCGAGATTGCGAGCCTGAGTTTTTGTAGCATGTAGCTCGGGATCCACGCCAATAGAAAGAGAGGCAGAGAGAGCGCGGGTCGGGGTGGGCGGGGTGGATGGGCAGCCCATGACAACAGGAAAGCGCTCGGGCTGGGTTTGAGTTTACGGCTTGAAGGTGTCTGAGGCAGTTTTTCGCCGAACGGGCTCCTTCAGGTGGGAAAGGGTGATAAGCGAGCAAGAGAGCGGCCTGCAAGCGAGCGAGCAGGAGACAGTGTGAGCGCTGAGCCCAGTCCATCGAACCAAAACCGAACTCGGAGTCCGGCAGCCGGCCGGCGATCTGCTTAGCCAGGATCGAGCGGGATCAGGTGGGCAATGGCGACGAGATCGTACTTCTCGGTGCTGGTGAAGCAAAGCGCAAGCTTTACGAAGTCAGACTGGATCCTCAGTACTGGTATGACAAGGCGATAGAGAGAGGCTAGGCTGAAGACTCTGTCACTGTTTGTGCCGAGCAGGGCCATGCCCAGCGGATGTCGGCTGAGGAGTATTGGAATCGCGAAACGATTTCGAAGTATTGGATCTTCCTCCACAACTCATCACGGACATGAGTGTTCTCAAGAAAGCCTACAGAAAGATATCGCTCTCTGTGCATCCGGACAAGTTGCTTGGCCGAAGGTCCTGTCTGGGGCTCTCCTTTGCGTGGCTTTGGGACCTGCAGCTCCGCCCAGGAACAAGCATCCTCAATCGGCGGATGCATTTCGCAGCTCTGCCGTAATGAGATATCCGCACATTGCAGACATGGCATTCTTAGATTCTTGACATGCTGAGTCGGAGAAGCTGCAAGGAAAGGTTTACGGAGCTTTCGAAACCCTGATGGACACGAGACAGCAACGGCGCTTGCTTTGGACCTGTCCTTACACGTGCACTTTATATGGCCTCTCTGGCTCTAGCCTGGCAGAGTCCGCACGTTCAGACAGCTTTTCACTGCGATAGACCTCGGTGTGAACAGGATTCTTGGCAAGCTCACCCCCGACATGGAGGAGAAGGCGGCCGCTGCACGCGGCTCTCGACAGACAGCTTCAAAGACACAGCCGCAGTGCATGCACAGTCGCAAGCCCTTGCTTGTGCTGAAGGTGCTGTTTGACGAGGAAGAAGAGGACGAGCTTTTCCAATGGTGGTGGGAGGCAACTGTCCCAGAGATCGAGAAGCAGGTTGCAGAATTTGAAGGTCAGCAGTTTGATGATTACGGTGCCATGTGGATCTCTGATGGACTCGGGGGCGAGCCCTTGCAGCAGCTATGCCTTGAATTGCATTGCGGGATGCTTGCTTGCTGCAGACCCGTGCCGAGGATATTGAGGAGGTAAAGTGGATTGGATTGGAGACAGCCAAACGACTGCACAAGGAGGAGGAAGGTGTGATTTTCATAGATGTTCGTGACCGTCGTGACTTTGCTGCCGGACACATTGCAGATGCTTTCTGCACACCGCTTCCAGAAATTATCGAGCCTCGGCGCAGGCCCAGGGAGGTCTTGTGGACAACCACGTTATGTGTTTTCATTCAGGACTATGGCCTCGTGAACGTGTTCATGGCCGCCGATGACCAACTGATACATAAACTTCTGACACTGGTGCCACATTAGATCTCTTCTTTCAGCTGACCGGTGGGTTCATGATGCGCCAGTGCTCCATACACCAGTTGACTGATCCAAAGCAAGCCTGGCAAGGAAACACCGCACAAAGCCGATCATCGTGTATAGCAGCCCAGTTGCACATAAGACACGACACCAAGCCGGCGTTCGGCTCGAGTTTCGTTTTGCCGTATAGTGAGTAGGCAAGGTCAGAAAAGCGTCATACCCGCACTATGTTCGGTGAGTGTGGGGTGAGGGGGAGGGGCTTAGGTCGACCGGCAAGGTTGATGCGAACCATGGGCTTTTCAGGTGGGAGGTCGAAAAGGGAAAATCGAATCAGGATAGTCGGTAGGGAACACAGCACAGGCTGCCGGAATGTATGCCGGCTTGTGTTCATTCCTGCAGGTACAGAAGCTCACGGTGGCATGCAGATTTACATTTAGGTCAATGCACCGGGCATGTATTCATGTGGTTGGAGGCCCGATCTTCTCATGTCAGAGGTGGTGCCAATAGTCGCCAGAACATGTTCCGAGGGAGAAGGTCCAGCATGTGCGAAGGAGAACAGCTAGTCTTATTAGTGGCGGACGGTCCGGACGGTCCTCACAAGATGTATCAATGTATCAGTGTGAGTTGCTCGTCACTGCATGGGACTAGTGTGGGCAGAGGCACGACCCTGTATGGCTTGGTTTGCAGCAGCCACGATTGAACAGTAGGCTTTTAAAATGGAGACATGCATGTGATGCTATGCCTTGTGCCTGGCAGACAGCGGCACGTCTTTTTTTTACCCTGTCGATGTTCAAAGGCTGCAAAGCAAGGCCTGTAGGTTTCCGAGCCAATCTTGGAACGGGGGCAGCGAGTTGCACAACCGTTGCCGACAACAAGCAGGTCGAATGCGAGGCCCAGAAAAATTCCGCAAACCCCCTTGTACTGTTCGTGTAAGGAGTGAGTTGCCTGTACGCCCGTTTCACGTTCTGGGTGGCAGACTGCTTGACGGGTTGCGGGAGCTTTCCAAATCCCTGACAAGTACTAGAGCACATCTTATGCACTTTGTACGACGTTCGCTGGATTATTCGTTGTCTGTATGCGCTATTGTTTGCTTGCCACGGCGAAACGTACCATCAGGTAATAATGTCAAACCATATAGTAGCGCTGCCGCATGCTCCTCCAGCCGGATTTTCCGGGCCCAGAAAACACGATCTTCCTTGCATATACAGATATAGCTCCGTATTGCTCCACTTGATGGCCTGGCCGGCGACTCAACTTGTTCGAACGAGCACATGCAATGCAAGCCTGCTCCTTAGAAAAACGAGTGTCGTACGTTGTCATGTACGACGGTGAACCCTCCTGCAGCAACTTTGCCACACGTGTCCAGCTTGAGCCAGGGAACCTTAGCAAATCGCAAGTGAGACGAATAGTGATGCATTGAACTTTTGGGCAGAAGAAACACCCAAACAGGAGTGGCTCCATCTCAGAATTTGGAATTCGTTCAGTGGGTAACCGAAGCCTCCGTATGAATGCACCAGCACATTCGTGATGGATCCGGGGCAGGGATCGAAGTGCAGAGAAGAAAAAGGTTCACAGAGCTTTTTCGCAAGGTTGCACAACTCAACGCCCGGACGACACGCCCCGAGCCCCAAAGTGAGTCCATCCGAAGGGCCCAGGGTCGTGTCCGACCTGGGGACAACACACTTTGGACCAGAAGGGCACGACAGATGACAGCAATCCAGGTGCACAGATCCCGTGACCTGTATTGACCTGCAATCTCGAGTGCCAAGGCGAAGTTGCCACGCCGTTCTCCAGATGCCGAGCCTTTTGCCGCTGGCTCTTACGAGCTGGACACCAGACCATCAAAGTGGAGCGTGTGAGACGCTTGCGCCGCCTGGAGAAGAGAACAGTTTTGAACTTGCAATGCTTAGCAGTCTTAGTCTTAGTCTCTACTTGGTTAGATTTGTGATTTTCCTTTCTGTCGTCTGCACACGACGTGTCAGGTGGTGGTATTTTCGGATGGAAACACAAGAACGGCCGTAGCCTCGGAGGAAGTCTGCTGCTATTGCCCTTCTCTTTGAAACGTCTCTGAGGACCAGTGGCCCGGCCTTTGCAGGAGCTCAGCATCTCCGCCCAAAAAACGCGGAAGTAGTTCGACCTTTTCATTGGGACAGGACTCTTCCTACGAGCTCACGGACAGTGCAGAGAAAGATGTGAGTCGGCTTTCTGAAACTTCCGTGAGTTTGTCTGCGAGTCTGATGGGTGCCGGGGGCATTGCCGTTGAGTAGGGCTGTCAAGCAGCAAGCAGCACCCGTTTCACCTTCGAGCCATTCTCCCTGCAAGCTCGCTCGCTAGCAGAGTATTGACACTTTGTGCTTGTTTTCCGTGCAGACGGCGAGCTCCTTGCGGTAGATGACAAGTGCCTGCTTTCCAGAGTGTGCACTTTTCACAAATTGAAACACCTTCGTCGAGGCTGGCAGACAGGAGGACGTGGACTCGTGCAATGCTTAGGTGGATTGAAGATGGTTGCACCAGAAACGCAGCCTCCTTCCAAGGCTCGACGCCAGCGAGCATGGATGGGCAAGAGCTGACTTCTCGGACCGTGCGGAACTCGGACTCGTGTACAAAGCCCAAGAGCGGCAAGGTCCGAACATGGACGCGCAGCGTCCGACGACGACATCACGCAGGCTTGAGGGCAGAGGGTGGGCCCAATCGCAGCAAAGGTTTTTGCCAAACTCCAGCCTGGAGGATGGAGTTCGGCCATTTAGTGTTGAGTAGCTGTAGCTAAGTGGTGCGCTATCTATCGGGCACTGTTACGGCGGCCAGTCTGATAAGTTGGAGATTGCATTGCCGGTGCAGTTGACCCTTGAAGAGTCTAGGTGCTTTGCTTTGTGTACGATTACCCTCTGTGCGAATATGCTGCCCAGCGTAGAATTGTTTACCAGTAAAACCCAGACTCCAGCCCCGAATTTTCGATTTTTCGGTGGTCCCATACCGAAATTAAGCCGCGCCTTGATGGATGTCAGCTGACATACGGTTTGTAGTTGTTTGTTGACTTGTTTTCGAGCGCAAACCCCATGACCTTGCCTCGAGAATTTTTGTCTGTCCGTTTGTGGTTTCTTCCAGGATTCCAGGTTGCAAGGTTAGGGGTGCAGGCATGTTAGCAGACACGATTGTTGTGCGTGTGCAAGAAGCTCAGCTAGACTTTCAGAGAGAAGCGTTGTGATGGTCCGCAGGTTCCGTTTTTCTTACGACGTCAGAAGAGCTTATAATATTTCGGCGCTGCTGCAGCACACGGCTCTGATCTAAATCACGGGCAGGCTTTGTTTTTTACATGCAGTATAGGCCTTTTCTGAAGCACGGGTCTCGGAGTCGGAGTGGCACATGGCAATTGTCATTGGTCTCGAATTCATAGGTGACTAGTCAAACAGGCTGAGAAACCCAACAGCAGTCTTAAACCCAGCCACAAAACAACAGACACCAAAATAACCAAAATGTCTGGTAACCAACTTCAGGATTTTGTGTTTTGTTTGGTTTGATTGTTTTATGGGTATTTCGGTTTTCTTGTCCATACCCCGATGACGTAGCTGGTTTCTCGCCCGCGGCGGCGCAGGGCGTCTGTGCGAGGGTTGTCGGTCAATGCTTTTTGGACGAAGGTTTTCAATTTGGGAATTCGGGAGTATGGTTCGAAGCTTCGCAAAATTGACGTATCTCACCCGGCCACTTTTCTATAGCTACTACTGACCCTTCAGAAATGTATGTAAGAAGCATGTGCTGTCCGAATTCATACTCAAGCAATCTCGAATCTGTTGACATCTTTCAAATGTGCAAGGTTTAGAGAATGAGTCATAAGCAATTAGCATTGGACCAGTCTACTCAAAATAGTTTATTTCCTCAATAGGTTTAGTTGCTGTGTTCTTGTTGAGTATATCTGGGTAATATTCCGTTGATGTTTGGATAATTGTAAACGCTTCGCGCCATCTGCTTCGTGTGTAGACATCTTGTCTCGTCGATTGAGCACGAGATAGCAAGAACTACGAACATGCAAACGACACATTAATAAGAGATAAAATATTTATGTCTTCAGAGCAACTATCCGTTTCATGTAGCCATCGAGTTTCAAAGCTATTGCAATTAAACAAGTCTTTTATCTTTGTTGCTTTGTTTAATGAGCATGGCCATTTAACTCGGCAATGGCCATCAACAGGGTATCAAGTGAATATTCGAAGGCACTAGCCACGTACCAATCTAAAAGACGTGATATATTGGCTAAATGCATGTGTGTATTGAAACTCGTTCAATGTTAGGTTTGCAGTTGGCTACATATCTTTTCAACGCACGAACACGACAACAACACCAACACGGGTATTCAAACGAGTATGAACCAAACACTATCCGGGTATTATGTATGCAGCAATAACAATTTCTACACGATGACCCCTTGTGGCCGCAACATGAAGAGACAGCTATCAGCTATCATATATTCGATATTGATTGATCTTTGCAGAAGATCGTGTAGTTGAGCTTAATATCGTACCACACTTGGAAAGAATAACAATGTCCACCATCATTGCAGCACGTGGAAGTGGATAACATACAAATACAAATGACGAGCCGCAAAGTCATTTTTTTGAATTTGCGGGTTTTTGGCCATCACATCACACGAATCGGTGGGTCTTTGAAAGGAATTACATAGTCAAGTGAGAAAGCGCCATCGAGATTTCCTCCTGCAAGGCATCTTTGCTTGTGACTACTTGTTCTTGCCGCTGCACCATGAAGCACGCGCCCAAGTTTCGTCAAAGAGTCGTGCCCCTTGATTCGATGGCAGATAGCATGTTGAAGCTGTTGCAGCGGTCGCAACGAGCCACAAGCCTGCATGCACGTGATGTAGCTGAGCGCAGCAACATGACACTTCCTCGCTACGACAGAGATGTTGACCTGCATCACTGCAGTACTCAGCATCATCGGTCAGTGCACTCGTGTGCACTCTGTTTAGCGAAGCCGCCGTGGAATCCGTGCAGAGGGGCCGTAGGCTGCTGACGGATCTTGTGCTGTTTGTCAGTCCGACTAAGGCCGAGCGCCACTGGTCTTTGGCAGTGGTCCGGGCGTTGCGTGTGCTTATTGAAGGCCAATGCTCCACATTTTCAATGCCCAGCCAGGTTTGCCGGCCGTGGGCAGCCGTGAACATCGGTCAGGAAGTTGGCAATGTACGTTACGTTTTTTCTGACCTGGCACGAGCGAGGATGTCCACACGACCACGACTGTGGCATTTCTGGATTCTCTGCGTTCACCCATCAGCGAAAAGCATGAGGCCAGTGCCGAAACAAATTGTAACAAGAAACGAAGCCTGCGCAGCATCTTGCAGGCAGTTGTTCTGCACGAGTTGAAGAGCTATCTCAGATCCGAGTGGCAAGATTGCACTCCCCTGTCGACTTCATTTGACGAGGGTCGCATTCAGGCTAGTCACAGTGTTACCGCGCTTTCAGAACATGTGCAGAGTGTGTGCCGGATGCACGGAATCCAAGCATGCGCACTGCCTGCGCAGGCGGTGGCAATCGATGTCCCACAGCAGCAAAATTCGTCTGACTGTGGTATCTATGCCCTGGACTCGGAGGTTCTCAAAAAACGCTAGCCTCTAAGGGTTGATGCTTCATCTCTTGCTTGCCTTTTTCTGATGGTGCGGTTCTCCCGCTGCATTACGACTGCACCCACACCACACGCCCACACGCCCACACGCCCACACATTACAAGCGTCGACGGAAGATTCCCGCAGGGTGGGTCAGCTACACGGAAGGCTTTGGAGCGACGTTCGGCCCGTATTCTTCTCTGGCTGGCACGAACTTGAAAAACTGCATGCAGACAACTCTTGGCAAAACGCCATCTCTCAGCTTCGCTTTTCCGCATCATCATGAAGATCAAACAAGTTCCGAAGCAGTTCAGCCGATCCACCATTGCACGCCTTCAAGGAGGATGATCTAGCAGCGAGGGATTGGCCAAGCCAGAGAGAGGCTATCGTGGCAGCCTGTTCTTTAGCAGGTCAAAGCTTGTTAAGACTCGACGGACAATTGCCCGGAGCAAGCCTTTTCTACGAAGCCAGACGTCACAGTGAACCGCCGGGTAGTGTAGGCAAGTTCTGGTTCACGAGAGGCTCAAGTAGGAGTCAGCCTCGCTCACCCATGGGAGCAAGTCATCTCCACTCGCTGGGCAAAGATCTGAAAACTTTGGATTCAGAAAGCGCAAAACTCGCTGAGAGTAGCGAGTAGAGTGCATGGCCGATGCCACGTAGTTGATGTTGCCTGTGATGTTGCCTCTCACCTCGCCTGCTGTTCCGGAGGCAGTGTTGGGTCTTTCCAGCAGTTTTTGGCTTTCATGTCTTCCAACGACGATCACCGGCAGCATATTGGACAAGCAGATTACCCGCTCATCTGGTCAGCATGGCCAGGAAACGAAGGTCAGGAGCCATGGCAAACCTCACTAGTTCGCCAAAGAAGAAATTAAGAATTTGAGGGGCCACCCAGGTTTTAATCGCAAAGTAAGGAACCTTCCCCAGAAGCAGTGGTCGGACGGATGTGAAGGGGAGCTAGGGTGAGACTTTCGTGGGCAGAAAAGAGCAGGATCAGTATGTTTTTGTTGTTTCGAGTCTTGTGCTCCTTTCTCTATTCAACCCTTCAAAACCAAACTAAAAGAAGCACCCAATCAGACCAAGCGGCGAAGATGCAGACCAAGCGGCATATTGCATACCAAGGGGTCAAGTGACGGCCAAGGCGCTCAAGTGCTGTAATTGCACTCGAATCGCAGAGTGGAGGCACTTGGACCCTAACCCTGAAACAGTGTCACGGTGGTCCAAGTAAGCACGAGGTGTGAGCAGCAGCAGAGGGGAGGCAAAGAATTATAATCTTCCTTCGCCCCTTGCCTCGGATTTCGCAGTGATCAACACTTTGGGTCCGGCACATTGGGGCGCCAAGGGCGCACCCCGGCCGGGGCAGCAGAAGCCTTCTCGGTCCGGAAGCGCCACCTGCATTGCACCGAACAGCTTTGCCTTCAGGTCGGTATTCAATATCAGCCCATCGTTCTCGAGTCTGTCGGACCGCCGCTTCCTTGGTGCATCGGCTGGCCGAGGCTGTAGCATCCGCCGAAGGCACTAACAGCTCCGTTGTCCGCCAACTTATGTTTGAGCAACTCGCTGTTGCGGTTGCAAGGGCGAATGCACGGGCCATCAAGCGAAGGCGTCATGACACAGCTGTTGCCGCCTTTTACCTGACTGCCAGGGCCGACCTGTTCGTCACCCCCGCAGCTTGAACCACTCACAAGGGGCCGGTGACCCTTTCTTTCCGACGCGGCCTCTTCCAGCACTGTCTTTCTCGTCGCGTGTTCTTGGTCAGACACAGTGACGCCACGGAGACTCAGTGAGCTTTGTCTTGGTGCTTCGTATCTGGGCAGGGAAATGCTTCGTCGCTTTTCGTTCTGGCAGAGACTTCACCGCGCTTTGTCTGTGGACTCCTTGTGGTCACAACTCCGCCAAGATTCGTGGGCGTTGGTAGAAATAAGTGGTAGTTCGGACTCATGCTCGCTGAGCCGAGCGTCACGGATCCTTTCGTTTTGCTTCCAAGGGCTCTGCGCTGCCCGGAGGGGGTCGTTGCACCAGTCTTCACCCCCATGGCACACCTTGCTAGTGCTAGTGGTAATGGTCGTAGCAGTAGCAGTAGGAGTAGCGGTGGTAGTAGTAGTAGTAG